GATGATCAATGGTTGCTAAGCTACGCAAATGTTCATTGATAAACTGGCTCCAAATTTATAAGACAAATAAAAACATTTGTTACTTATCACTACACCATGATATTCTCGATGATGTGATCTTTTTTCCATTCATTATTGTTCTAATATTAAATATATTTAAAAACATTTCATACTGTTATTCGATAGAAAATGCTAATTTGTGTGTGCTGATGTGAGCTGTACTGCAAAAACGACTTGCCTCCTCACTCACATAGTTATTTTGAAGGTGTGGTACTTCCCGAGTCGACATTATCGATGTCCTCACATCCACATCCATGACTAGCACATCCGTTATTGCCTAAAATTCGATATCGAATAGCGATGTGATTTCATTTGAATCGTTGGTAAACATTTTTTCAATACATATTTTCTTCTCAATAAATCATCACATTTTATTTTTCTTTTCTTTTCTTTACAGAATGCAAATGTTCCAATCATATATCAAATAAAAGAACTAAATTTGCAATCGGCTGCAGGCACTATGCCAGACGAAGAATATTACTCTATAATGGAAAATTTGTTAAACCAGGGACGGCGCGAAAAGGGGGGGGTGGGAGTTCCCCCCTCCTACTTTGGAAATTTTGACTTCAGTTTTCGTCCGGCTTGAAGAAAATAGAAGAGATTTTTCCTCCCAAATTAAAGATACTCTCTCACTAATAGAATAAAATTCAGAGGTATTTTCTGAGAAAAAAAGGAAGTTAATCTGAGACTTAGATACGGAAAAATTTTAGTGTTCAGGCGTCATGAATTTTGGAAATATTTCTTGCAGTTTTCTGAAGATGGAAATGGGAGGCTTTTCCTCTTTTTCTTTCCTAAAACAATTTCTAGTAAAAAAAGACAACTGATAACAATTATAAGAACAAATTGGTATATAAATTTTGTGTTTGTGATAATGTAAAATAACAATTTCTTCTACTTCATTGATGCATAATTAGTCGCAGTCGGATTGATTAACCAAAGAAAAATGCGAATCAGCTCCTTTAGTACAGAATACTATACCCTAGTCTACTCTTCCCAGACGAATCCCCAAGGAGTCCCAGTCAATATTCGAACTTTTGAGGAGTCACTGTCATGAGTCCTCGGGGAGTTAAGAAAAAGATGAAAAAATTTCTATCGAAACTATCAGAAACCTAAGTAAAATATCCGAAAGCGTCTTCAAAATTTCCGAGGGACTTCTAAAAAATGACTAAGGAGTCCCTGTAGAAGTCCCTATGGACTTCCTGCCCGCTCCCTGGGATTTCAAAGGGACTCCCCCAGCCAGTTTTTAGAAATCAGTTAGAAGCTTTTGAAGATGCTTTCATATTTTTTACGTAGGTTTTTGATAGTTTCGATAAAAATTTTTTCATATTTTTCTTAACTCCCCAAAAATTCGAATATTGAAGGGGATTCGTCTGGGGAGAGTTGAATAGGGATAGAAAAATATTTCGACAAGTTATCGATCAATTAATTACAGAATACAAACAACTTGTACTGCCTATATATGGATATAAATAGTGAGTCTTTAGCAGCATTATCTCCTAAATATCTCCTGAAGTTTACTGCTACAGATACTGATAATATAAGTAATTAAAATGGTACAGATTAATGATAGCGTCTTGTTGTACATCGAAATACAATTATTCAAAGAGAACAAATATATGAATGTGAAACGATTGCTCATGCAAGTAAATTTATTCATGAACGAAAATCATTTATTCCATTAATTACTCAAGCGTACCAATATCTTTTAACAGTTTAAACTAAATTTCTAGTTTTTTCTAGTTTTTTTTTGATTTTCCTCCCATTTTTAAAAATAACCCCCCCCCCTTACTCTTATTACTTCGCGCCGTCCCTGTATACGCTGCAACATTCTTATCCTTATCCGACTTTATACTGCAAGGTGGGGTAACGTTATCGTACACACCTGTGCTGTAAAACTATATTTCAATAGATTCTCTAGAAAGAAAGAAAGAAAAGAAATCACAACACTAGAAAGTTTTCCGGTGTTTGTATTATTAAATAAAATACAATTTTTTCTTTTCTGAAATCTCAATATTCGTTAACAATTCACTTGATCAAAATTTCATCTTTTTTCCCTTTCTATATCGGATGATATGACAGCAACATTTATGGCTTCGTATTGACATTTTTTTCTCTTGACCTATCTAATATTTTTCTTTTCTACGAGTAGAATGAACGTCTGCTTACGAATTTTTTCACATAATATATATATATACGTACTCAGTTTTTTCTCATTTATTTCGTGTTACAATAGTCTATCATACATATAATTAAGAAAAAACTATAACAATAACAAATGACCGAGAAAGAGGTAGATCTTTGGTAGACTTTTTTTCAATACATATTTTCTTCTCAATAAATCATCACATTTTATTTTTCTTTGCTTTTCTTTACAGGATGCAAATGTCTCAGTTAAAACTCAAATAGCAGAATTGAATTTTCAATGGGCTGCAGGCGCTATACCAGACGAAGAATATTACTCTATAATGGGAAATTTGTTAAACCTGGTTAAATGCGAGAAATGATCATTAGTCTGATATTTCTTCATCAAAATCTTTTTTTCCTTTTCTATCATCTTCTCGTTTTTCACTCTTGTCATTTGTCGACCGTGGCTTTTTTCTGTTTCATAATTGTCCAGCATCTTTTGATTTTGATCATTGTCGTTTTTTTCTCTTTTATGATCATATCTATTTCGTCTCATTGATCTTCATTATATTTTTCTTTTGGTCTTTCATTATCTCTTGATTTCTTTCGTCATGATGATAAGATTTTTCTTTTTTTGTGGTTCATCATGTGATAGTTCACTAGGTGTTAGATTCATGTTAAGTCGTTTTTCATAGTTTCCTTATGGTTACATCTTTTTGTTGTCATTAAACTTGAGCAGATTTTTTTTGTCTTTCATTAACTCTCAAATTTATTTCGTTTTTGATGATGGTCAGATAGTTTTATTGTGATTCTTTGTCGTTAGATTTTTTTTCTTCAATCATTTTCTGGTATGTTTTTGTCTTTCATCAAGGTTACATCTGTTTTGTTTCAAGTATGGGTATATCAACTGTGAAATAAATGGAAGAATCATCTGATATTTAATCGTTCATTTTCAATACGTTTGGTACACAATGATTTGATTGATCGAACAAAAATCATTTTTTTAAAAATCTTTTCACTCAAACTACCATTAGAAACAATGATCTTATGAGAAAAACAAAAAAAAACATTCATCTTTTCCAATAGAAGTAATGAATATCATTATAGAAATACCTTCATCTCTTGTGACAGTTATCAATAATCTTTAGTCCTTTTTGTAATGTGCATGTTTCAACATGAGATACCCAACTATTAGGTAATATTTTATAAAAATGACGCCCTTGTAGTGATGATTCTGACTTCATTTTATTGTGTCTTTAATTCTCGATGAACAACTCATATCCATTGATTTTTCGAAATAAATCCTTTCATATTTATTAGAATATTGACTTTTAGGAATTGCCAAGTAGTGGCGTAACCACGAGGGGGGCTGGGGGTGGCTGAGCCCCCTCCAGAACTGCTTGAGCCCCCCCTAGAAATATTTCTGTTTAGCTGTTATTTAATGTTATTCTAATTTTTCGAGCGACTTTTGTGTTAGAGAACACAATCTAGATGTTATTCTTGATCAACAATAGTAAAGAAAGAAAAAGAACAATTCTGTTCTGTTTATGTCGTCTTTGTACAATGTGAGTAATCGATCGTCATTTATCTGTTCAACAACGAAACTTTCGTCTTGATCAACAACAGTAAAGAGAAAAGAAAAAGAACAGTTCTGATCTGCTGGTGTCGTCTATGTCAGAGTTGCAACCGGTAACGGTAAACGGCCGGTTCGGCCCGGTCTAGGATTCCTTACCGGCACCGCCAGATATACCGGCCGGTACAAGCGACTTTTTCAGACCGGCCCGGTCTAGATTTTTTAAAATTATTTTCGCTTTTTTCCCTTATTTTTTGCAAAAATAGATGATAAAAGTGTTTATTTTTGCATATCAAGCTAGTTTTTATGACATTAATGACGATTTCTAAGAAAAATTATGAGATATATTGTTTATATTAAATCAGTATTTATCAAAAATATATTTCTTAGTGACGAAGGAGAAGTCTTAAATAATTGGAATAGTGATTCAGAGTAAGATATGACTGATGTGAAATGAAAAAAGTCAATAGTGACTCATACGATGAAAAAAAACAACTATGACTCATGCCGGTCCGATCCGGTCTGATCGGCTTAGACCGGTACTGGTACCGGTCTAGAAAAAACCCTACCGGTTGCAACTCTGGTGTATATTGTTGTTTTGTGTATTGATGTAGTGTATATTGTTGTTTTTCTTTAAAATGCTACTCTTAACATGAAAAATATGTTAGTGAACATCAAGCAAGTACAACATCTCCTAAAAAAGGTGGAAGAAATTCAGTTTTTAATTAATTCTAAAGAGTCTTGGGGCCGAGCCCCCCCTAGCTTAAAATCCTGGTTACGCCGCTATTGCCAAGGGGAAAACACTGATTTCTAATAGCGTCTAGTGATTTCTAGCATTAGAAATCAGTTTTTTCCCCCTTGAGCCCACATTCTTACTAAAGAAAGAAAAGTTCACAGCAATGGGGATACCAATGAGTCTTAATCGAAACAATGAAGAGAAGCAATAGATTTAATATTTTTCTAAAAGTTCTCAGAGCTAGAATGGGGCATAGCTAAATAGATGCGTTTTATATTTTTCTAACAAGTTAAAAAAAATCTTTATCCCCCAAGCAACTTTCTCGCATAGCACTCTTTTGGCACAAAAAGAATATGGTTATTATTAATCGATATCATTATTATTTTTACATATGCTAAAATAACACATGTTATTCAAACATCGATTTAATCTGAATTTAAGAAAGAAGATTTTTACAAAGAAACATTAATTGACATAAAATTGACGTCTGTGTTGAAGATGATGCGATCATTTCTTGTTGCTAGCTGCTATTAAACTTGGTAATGGTTTAATATCGGGCAAAACCATTTCTTTTCTGGCATTTGGATTATTCAACATTGTTTCTTTTTTGTAATATTCCAAAAATAAATCTTCATGAAGTAAGTGAGAATTTAACCGAAGGAATTCTTCGAAATAGATCTGTTTGGGACTTTGTGCAATGGCTAAATCAATCATTTGAATCCAAAAGTAGGTCATTGTAAAGTGAAATGTTGTCTTTTTTACTATTGCACTATTTTCAATGAAATTTTTCAAGCCATCAAATATTTTGTTGACTCCTGTACGACGTCCGTCACGCGTCAAATAGAGCCATACCATACGTAAATGACTTTTATGAGGCCAACTTTTTAACGTATACGATTCAAAGCTTCTTAGAAATTCATCATCATCTAATTCATTATTTGATAGGTCCAGGGTTGAATCACTGGTTTTATTCATTACATTCTTATAAGGAGCGAACGATCCAGGTACAATGCTTGGCAATGGTTTTATATCAGGCAAAACCATGGCTGTTTTCGCTTGAGTACTAAGCAGTGTATCTTTTTTGTAATAGCTCAGTGGGACTTCGGTTTCGTTCAGAAGTTGAGGATTCATTAATAATAAACCCGTAAAATCATTTGTTGGATTTTTCGTTGCTTCGCATGCATAATGTACGATTTGAAGCCAAAAATAAATCAAAGTTTCATTCATATCTTTTATATACATTTTTAGATGATCAAATAGTACTTTAACAGTCTTTTGTCTGCCGTATATTGTTAAATAAACCCATATGGTTCTCAACAATGTTCGATGATCAAAAGTTTCACTGGATAATAGATTGTTTTGAAATTTCTCAATGAATTCTTCATTTGTATCCTCATCTATGTGAGATAACCATTCTGATAGCTTATCGCCGTCCTGATTGTTCTCAGCTGTTGATATAATACTCTTTGATTCTATGGGTGTATATCTAGTATCCGAAGTATGTGGTGATTGCAATAAGCGCACCAACCAACTTAAACCTTCATACAAACCATCACCTGTCCTAGCACAGCATGGCTGCAATAGCCATTGTCTATCTTTAATACTATTTAATCTCATTTCTTGAATAATGTATTCGGATTTCATTGCATTAGGTAAATCGGTTTTATTCAAGTAGATCAATAGAGGTATATTGATTAAATCATCGGCGTCAAATACACGCCACAATTCTTCTGTTGTTTGTGGTAATCGATCCTTATCATTTGAGTCGATCACATATATAAGAGCCTGTGTATTTTGAAAATAGTGTCGGATTAATGGACGAATTTTATCACGACCACCCACATCCCAGATAGTCAGTGAAGCTTTGTTAAACAACACTACTTCTACATTGAAACCGATGGTTGGAATTGTTTGAACAGTTTCATTGAGTTTCAACTTGTAAAGAATTGTTGTTTTACCTGATGCATCGAGACCCATAATAAGTATGCGATATTCTGGTGCACTAAATAATTTACTGAGCATTTTAAGTATACGTGATGCCATCGGAGGAGAGTTTCGTTGCTCAATAGAAGTTGTTACCTATATGTCCTTCTATCAAATAGTTTCGTCTTTTCTGACGATACACCATTTCTTTCGACAAGATTTCTTCTCATTTTCTGACTCAGCAAAACACGACACGTATTTTGTTTTTTTCTGTTTTGCTCTGCCGAGAGAGTATTGACTCATCGAACATGGCTTGACTACTCATTACCAAATCAAATGTAATTTATATATATATATATATATATATCACCTGTAGCGACGTCTAGATATTTGCATACGGTATAGGTCGCCCGTCTACAGGTAATAAATCTTTCTTCCGAAATGGATATTGCTACCATGTGAAAAGCCTCTTCACAACGTTAGATCATAATCTCAAGACATGCATCTTGACAAAAGTGAGTCTATACGATATCCTATTGGTGGTTACCTGTTCGGAAGAGTGATGCTATGTGATTGGTAACACTGACTACTGATCATTCTTCATAGTTTGGTAATCAAACTCACATGTGATTTTGCCTACCGTACCATCTTCTCGTAAAACAGGTATTTCTCTGTATGAGATAAAGTCTGCCCTAAATAATATAAAATACGTTATACATTATTGAGAATCTTTATTGCAATCCAGCTGTTGGGATATAATTAATTGTAGAACACGATTACAAGGGAACATTACATACGAGTTTTAGACAAATCTACTCAAAATTAGGTCCAATCAGAAAGTTCAACGATAGAGAACATCTACACATAAAACTCCCTAGATCCACATCCTTAATATATTATATATCTATTATTTTCTATGGATTTAGAAGAATAGTTAGACTTGACGAACATGTTTTTCATCTTTAAATAACCGTAAGATATAGAAAAATATTCACTGAGCTTTCAAGACGACACTACATGTTCACAGTTTAAAGAAATAAATAGTGTTTGAATGAATACTATTTTACTTCTAAATAGAAATCAATGATATCGGTTCTAAATTGTTGATGTCCATCGTATCCTGAAGGAATAAATATTCAGTGGCAACAAAAAAAAAAGAACTATTTCTACAATTTTCATAATCATAATACTATTAGAATCTGAAGATTTCGATGGGCCTTAGTATGTTTTGTCAAGTACCGTAACGTACTCCGACGAGTATATGACGAATAAAAAGACGAAGTAGAAATCATTTGGATTCTTTAGCCACTCTCTTAACTACAGCTATTTTTGTCTTTTCCAAAAAAGTTGTTTTGCATAAAAAAAAACAATCACAATCGAAAAAAACAGTAACGTAAACAAAAAAACAATCTTTTTTTCGTTCGATGCTCTATTTAAAATTATGTCAATTTCAACTTGAAAAACAACTAAAATATCATAACATAAATCCGCTGTATAATTCAGATTGACAGAATCGATACTTGAAACAAAATATAAATCTCATACGAAAATACAAAAATTATTCCTATTTCTGTACAGTCCAGAAATTTTGAAGCAACATATACAGGCAACTCTCATTATGACATTAATAAATACCTTGTAGATTTAACTATTATTTTGGGTTTCAACAAATGTTTGTAGTTCTACTGTTAAAACGGCTAACTTGCCCATCATGAAATATTTAAATCAACAATTTTTATCATAAATGTTTCTTTTAAGAAGATCTTCCGATTAAACAATGGAATCGAGTTGATTAATATGTTACGTTGCGTTTTATAATATATAGGCATATTATTCCGAAACATATATTTTAAGAAAAAAATTTAAATCCTTATCTGATTACATATGATTCTAACAGAAATTTGCCTGGAAAGCAAGATCAAAATAAAATGAACTATTTGAAGAGTTTGGACTGAAGCTAGAAATAGCTTTTTAAACACGATCTAGCCAGGAATTCATCTGTCATCGGGTTTGGCGTCCTCTGCCACTTTTGTTCGCCTGAGTATATATTAACAAACGTTACTCCCGTGTTGAAATTGCCCAGTCGCGAACAGCAATATAGGTTTTCTATTCTGAATGAGAGGTTTAACTGGATTAATGTATTATTATGAAATAATTCTTGATATCTTGTTGTAGGCAATTGACTTACGAAAAAAAAAACTTGAAAATAGAGCATTAATAATTTATGAAAAACAATATTTTTTAATAATTCAAAAATTTATTCCATAATCAAAAATCTTCTTTCGAAATTTGATTCCTATTTATTATTGCATAAAATCTCATCAGCAATAGCGAATCGAGTAAACACTTTCAACAAGTTCTTTTCGAATTCTACTAGATTTTTCTTTATAGTCTATACGTAATTATGCAATGGCATTATATCTGCACCGATAGGTAGACAGAAATATTTGAGCATTTATCAATGTTTCATTTTTCTTTTCTTTTTTTCAATTATTCAGTATTCGACTTCAACTTCGTATTATTCAACTACCAATCATTCTTTGTGATGGTTTCTTTTCTTTTCTTCGTTTTTTTTTATTACACGAGTCGTAACAACCTTTTTTTGTTTCATTGTTTCGAATTATTTTTGTTTTCAAAGTATGCACATACATACTGAACAAACCAAGCACATTCATCGAGTGGATGGCAGCTATTCTTTACTGGCATGCATGAAGAAAGGTGAGTTTATTATAGAGAATAAGAGAATTGTTTGTTGTTGATGAGGTGACAAAAAAATTTAAAAAAAGCAACATATAGCAAGCGAGAAATAGAGAGAGAGAGACAGAGACAGGGAGAAAAAAAATTATAGAGTTGCTTTTTCAATGCCATTGATTATAAAACAGACACATTAAACATAAACATACCATTGCCGATTGGTTACTATACAGATAAATATCATGGTGAATTCCAAAAAAAGTATTTTAGAACGATATCGTACATTATTAGAAAGTAATCTTATTCTAACCGATGATTTACTCAATTGGTTGAGAGAAAAACGAGTTTTTCCTGATTTTGTCTTCGACGATATTAAAGTATTTTAAGTTCATTTTTCTTTTGCATCTGCATCACTGTTGATTTATTTTTTATAAATTTTAAATAGGCTTTATCAGCGCCGAAAGAACGAAATAAGAAGTTTTTAACTGTTATTATTGATAATGGCGACGCAGCTTTTACGAAACTCTCTGAAGGACTAATTGCAAATGGTCAACCTTTTCTGGGTGAACTTCTTGAAAGTGAAGGTGAATCATTTTCACATTTATATGTTCTCAAAGGCAAATATGAACTCTACGCTAAGAGTTTGTTTGCTTTCTTTTTCAGATAAAAAAGCATCGGAACATACGGCCGATGCATCGGAACGTGTAATTATTGACGATGAAACTCTTAAGAGATGTCCAGGTGTAGATAAAATGCGTGCGGATGCAAGGGATAAACTTAAAACATATCTTCAAGAACTTGTAAGCAACGAAAAGCAATGTGGTTGTTCTTTTTTTATAGGAAAATTATTTTAATTTTATTTCATGTCTAGGTATTAAAAGCTCATTTAGGTGACACTTGGAAAACTCAAAATCAAAATAAATCAGTTGAAGTTATTAATCTGAAAAGGCAACATTACGAAACTCAACATAAATTAAATGAAACATTAGAAGAGTAAGTTATTTCTTCGGTAGGAACTTGTACGTATAATTATATCTGCATATTCTATAGAGAAAAACGTATTATTATCACATTAAAAGAATCTCTTCAAATTGAACAAATTGCTCGACAGCAAAAAGTAGTGATAATATTTAATGCTCGCTGAAATATGAATATTGATTATTGATTTAGGAAGAAGAAATGCAACAACTTCGTGGCGAAGTTACTCGACTTAAATCAGATTTTGAACAAAGATGGTCCAGTCAGATTAAAATGGTAAAATAGAAAACAACCAGTGTGACAATAAGAGGGAAAAAGCGACTTTCTGTTTTGTTTTCTATTTTTCAAGGTTGATGCAAATAATCGAAGTGTATTTCGAATGCATGATAAAATGGTTATGCTTACTGATTGGCTTCGTTCTTTGGGTATAATTCATATGAATTCAATGAGTTAAAATTCTATTTCGTTTTTGTTTGTTCGAATATTTTAGATAAAATGTTAAAATCAAATATATTACAAAGCGGCATCGAATCAGATTCGATGGATCAATTACAAAATAAACTAAAACGATATTCAACAGAAATTGAATCTCTTCGTGGCAAAGGAATTGGTAAAATATTAATTTGTTTTTTTTTCTTTAGTTTATTTCTCAATCTAACGTATATCTATTTTGATCATAGGCACAGATAAACTGAAAGAAGAGTTATACGAAGCAATCTATACAAGTCGTTTTCTGCCCATAGAAGACCGTAAAAATAAGCCGTTTCACGGACTTTTGCTGCATCTTTATGGAAACAATCAAGTAGCCGAATTGGCAACTATTTGTACAAAAGATGTTTTACAATCCAAACAAGAACGTGATAATGCTTATGAAATCAAATGGCGCGATGAAAAAATCGATGGACTTACGCAAACTACGAAAGAGTTGAATGAAGAAATTGAACGTTTGAAAGCAGCACTCGCTGAACAATCTGTCAAAACTACGAAACCTCAATGGCGTCCAGTGCCTGCAACGGTTCCGGTTACACAACGTGAAAATAATAAACCACGTACAACATTAAAACCATCGAATGTTCAATTCGGAACGAAGCCTGGAGGAGCGAGCTGATATTATTTTCTTCATACACCGTTTCGAATCAACCCGGTGTTAGAGTTCTTTTTTTTTAAATAAAAACAATTAAAAATTGAAGACTTTTCTCTCGATTCATTGAGTCAATTTGTTTTGTTGTAAGGGAAGGAATTCAACAAAAAAGAAGAAGAAGAAGACTGACAGCTTTACTAATTACTTGAATGGTATGATCATAAATCGATCAATAAGCAAAAATATTCATTAATCAATTGGCGAAGCCTGGTTCTTTTTATCTTCTTACAAGAATTAAATCATGCATGCATGAATGCTTTTTGTGCCCGTCAGCAATGAATTCATTTCTTACTCGACTACTCAATTGATCATATTCATGATTAGTTGTATGCATGCAGAAGTTAATATGAACTCGTGCTAGGTTGAGAGCGAAAGGTATTTTATTGAATAAGAAAATCATTAATCAAAGAAAAAATAATAAATAAATGGAATAAGAGAGAGAGGAGGCAGAACAAGAAAAATGCCGAAAAAATTTTCTTTCTCTTTTTATTGAGGAAACATCGACTACTAATAACAGTTATATATCTACGTTTGTTGTTGAACAATAAGAGAAGCAAACAACAAACGAACACCTCCAGTGCGTTACTTCTATAATAACTACGTGGTAATACATAGAGAAAGGCATCCAAGAGAAGAAAAACGGTTGCCTACATTGATGAATTTCGAAGAATTTTTCATAGTCATTCGATCGTGGAGAATAATATTGATGGTTGTTTTCTCATCTTTTTAAGATAAATCTTCTCAATTGTCAACTAACGATCATGAATACAACTGCTTTTTTCACCGGTGTTCTCACTTGTTTTCTACTTATGGTAATAAATTCAAATTTTTTCTTGTTTTTCTATCGTGTATACATTTATTCTAGTTAACTATGACACATACATTTGCATTATCGGACGCAATAGCTGCTGATGAACATCATGCATTTATTGATCAACCATCCGTATTATTGCCAAATAGAATTCATTCGATCTATCAAAATGATCATTCAATATTTGATGATATTGACAAACATGAATTGGAGAAACGTCGTTTCAATGCGTGGGCTGGCAAACGTGCGCTTGTGGCTAGACGACGTTTTAATTCATGGGCTGGTTGATGCTAACCATACTCTCTCTTACATATGCTCTTGATCTATCTATTGATCTATTTCACATATTTAATCAATAAATTGAAAAATAATCATATAGGCATGCTTAGCTAGCCTGTTATTTCCCTATTCTTATGTGTTTGATTCAGCGTTTCCTACAGTCGAGCTTTCTGTAACAATAATTACACGAGTTCGATATTTTAATAAGAGAAAATTATTTAGCTCACTCATACGCCTTCACACCGATACCCTCAATGACAAGTAGATAAAATCATATTTTTTTTGTTGTCGATTGCAGCTATAGAAAGCAATGAGAATTGCGATATCAGGCTAATTAAATACGCTCATATAATTATCTAGTGGATACTTTAAAGTTGATTATTTATTTCTCTTGGAAGTCAATTATTCAGATGAAAATTTTCCTTATACCTCAAATATATTACTTTTAAAATACACTTTGATCGATTAATAGGAAAACAATAATCAATATCGTGAAAGACACTGAACGACATGAATTCTGATCGTTAGAAGAAATGAAAAAGAATGACAACAATTGACTCAACTAGATACCAATGACAGAAAATATTGATTACAAAGAAATAAATGAATTTCTTAATTGTAGTTCGATGAATTCAATGCAATATGAATAATTCTTCATCGCACACAAACAAACAAACAAAAACTAGTCGTTAATGAATACAAGTGCCTTTGTCTTTTATATTTATTTATAATTCATTAAAAACTATTTGTCTTCTGTTGGTTATATCGCTGATATACTTTTTTTGGAAGGATAAAGAGATTAAAATACAATATATGAATGTATACAAAGCAAAAACAAAAAACATAAAGGCACAATTACTGTGAAAACAAACAGCTAGACAATAAACTCTGTACACACACTCAAAACAAAAATTATAATTAACAAACTTAAAAATGACAAATACAAACTATTCATATATAATAATTAAAAAAAACAAAAAGAACAAATAATTTTATACAAATGAGACAAAAAATAACTTGTTATTTTAGCCATAAAACAGAGAGAAATAAAAGGATGAGGGTCACCGTTGTTGAGCAGATCCAAATTTAAAAGAGAAATGTGCATGCATAAAAAGGTACAGATTCAGAAAACGAGAGAATGATTAGTAACATCCTTCATTCCATGAGGATGTTGGTGACATGGCATCGGGAATTTGTGGTCGAGTTACTGATCCAGGTGTGCGAATATTTCGAGTTACCATCATACTGTCCGATGATTGAGACGAATGAATAACATTTGTTGATGTCGTTCTAACGAGTAGAAGAAAAAATATGCAGATAGATAAAAATTTCATAGCGAATAAATAATCATGCGATTAGTAATTTGCAATTAGTGTCTCTACTATACTCATGTCTATTTAAAATCCATTGATAGTTGTCCGTCGTGACGTAAGTGAATGATGACTGAAAACATCCATCAATCAAAACAAGCAAGCCAAGCAGAAAACAAAACACAATGTTTTTGTACTCGAAACTTAACTTACCGCGCAGCTGTTGGTATACTGGGTCTTTGTTGTTTGCCAATAGTTGGTATACCACTTCTTCTACCTTGACTTAACGATGACGAACTGCGCGGGATTGATGTTGTTTGTCCATTGTTCAAAGTTGCTGTTGCCATATCGACCGAGGATGATGATGATGGTGGCGGCGGCGGATGTTTGTCAATAGACGATTGTGTTGATGTACGTCGTTGCAATGCACCATGAGAACGAGTTGGTGTTGTTAACGGTTTATTACTTACATCGTTTAATAAGCCATTATCATTCGATGAGAATTGTTTAGCTGTAAATGTTAAACCTAAATCATTAGCAGATTTTTTTACATTTTTTTGCAGCGTTGACGGGGCTTGAACTTTTGGATTATTATTAGTATTTATGTAAGCTGTTTGAGAGCCACGATACATTGGTAATGGTCGAGACACAGGTGGGCGTGTTCGATTGTTAGTTGTTGGTGTAACATTCGGGCGATTCGTTGGTGTCGATGGCTTCAGATCAGTAGCATCAGGCAAATCATAGCCATTTGGAAGATTAGTTGAAATTGTTTGTGTATTTGATCGCCGATGATTATTTGGTTTAACACCATTTCTAAATCATATCAATATAAATCTATTGATAAGAAGATTTCTCTTTATTAGACAAACCTTGGAAGTAGTGATTTAGGTACGGCAGGTGGCTTATTACCAGATTGATCTAATAAAATATAGGAATTATAGTAAATTAAATAAATAGATTCATCGTTATTCTAGCTGGTGATTAAAACACACACACGCACACACACACACGCATATGTACAAATGTGTCCCAAGTATTGTTGCGGCTTTTTGCGCTTTAAACAATCAGAAATAGTATAACCACATTGTTATTTAATCAAATATAGCCACTACACTCACACGACTTAAGATAATAGAAAAAAAAAGGTATGATAACAAAATGTGGATATCTATTATTTGTATCTTTTTTTTTAGTGTCGGACTTTACATAAGAAATTTTACTCATTAGTTATATTGCACTTCTCGAACACAACCGTAGTGAATATGGATAAACAAAAATTCAAAACAAACTTGACGGATCTATTTAAAAGAAAAAAAAGTAATTTATCAACAGGAGAAAAAGAGTTGAATTTTTTTTTGTTCTTTTATTGTGTAGATAACCATGAAATTCAATCTAATCAATTGAAAATATATGGTCAACAGCAAGAACCTTCAAGTTATGTTTATGCATTTGATAATCTAGCTTATGGTACTTCTCTGAAGATTAAACCTTGATTTTTCTTATCTTCATATAGAATAAAACAATAGCATTCATGCATTTTTATAAGAAAAGCAATGCTAGCCGATGATTTCCTCTACTATGATTCTACTTTTTTTTCTACAAATAAACTCACTAGTCATAGTTACAGTAGTCGAACTGCTGGCCGATGCAAGGGATAGATTAGAACCGGCTATAAGCACACAAAGCATAAGCAAGCCAATAAAGCAGATATGTATAAAAGCATCAAAAGGATTTAAAAAACAAATTTATAATCAACAAGTAATTAGTAGAGCATTTCTGTGCAAAGTATTAGAAAAAACAAATAAATACAAATTAGTATGTAGTAGTAGTCAACCTGATGCACTATCGACAAACGGATTGTCAGCATTATTAGGCAACAAAGGATATGGCAAAGAACTATTTGAGGCTATAAATGATGTTTCCATACAAGTTTCAAGTGCAGATGGTGTTTCACGACCACTCCAATGACCTGTTCTTATAGCTGGCGATCCTGATCGTGGTGAAACCGATGGTAACACATGAGTATATTGAGATTCTGTTACAACAAATGAATTTTTCCGTATTGGAATACGTCCGGCCGCTGAGGGACTTGGCGAATAACTGCGTCGAGGTGTTAGATAACCATTATTACCAACAGGACTTGTATTACGTGTAGCACCAAAAACGGATGAAGGTGAAACATCACGTGAATCTGTACTTAATAAAGTATTTGAACTGCCTCCTGAAAATGTATAGATTAGCAACGGAAAACAACAACAAATGTACGCATATATATATATGTATATATTACAAACATAGAAATAATACATCAATTTTGTTTTCTTTCATCACCTCAAAATTATATTACATAGAGCACACTAACATGCAGCTGATAGAATACGTTAACATACCGAATCGTTTTGATAATGGGCCTTGACGTTCAGCTTGACGTAAATCTGAACGAAGAAATAAGTAGTTTTTTTGTTTCTCAAGTTTAAGGGATCCAAACAATGAAAACTACTTACTTTCAAGTTGTACTTTGGCCATCACTATATAAACAAAGTAAAAGAACAAAAATAGTATTACATATTAATTGTCAAAAAAGAAAAATGCTCTAGGCTTAGTTCAGTATTTCATATTCTGTTTACACAACGATAGAAATGTGTCAATGTCAATCGTTTATCGAAGAGGATCATATTGAATGTTTCGTAACCTCATACTCTTATAAATAAAGTCGTTAGCACAACTGAAATATGAAACACGATGCAGTCACTGTTGCTAATCACAGGGAGATTGTTTTAGTCTAGCTATTTTTATGCACATCTTCTTTCGCTTAATCCTGTGATAATGATATGCCTATATCTGATTCATAAAATGTCGATGAAAGACACACGAGGGTGTCTGTCTTTTGTAATGATGCAATTCAAAAATGCGTACCTTCAAGATCTGTAAAATCCAACGGTTCTCTTTCGCGTTCTCGTGAAACGTCTCTTGAACGCACAGTAGTATTTGGATAATTAGCACTAGAATTTGTTATCGCAACAGTGTGTCGAAGTGGCGATGAACTAGCAGGTGATGTTGGCCGAGTATTTCCACTTCCATTAAATAGAGGAGTAACTGTACGTAATGGCGAACTCATTCTAGCAACATTGGATACCAGCTCTAGAATTTACAAAAAGAAAGACATGTAGAAAATAAAAATTCGTTTGGTTACACACATCAAACAAAAGGGGTTTTCGGGGGAGAGAAAGAAAACTTCATAGCACATGCTCTTCAAATGCATTCGAACTCTTTTCTTTTTATCACATCATGCTTAACGTCTTACTACTCCGAGATTTGGCATGATCATAATTATCGAGACTATCCAATGATGAACATCGACGTGTTAATTGTTCGATTAATCGACATTCTTTCGCAATGGTTTGTACTAAATTTGTATCATTTGAACAATCGAAAAATTGTTCACCATCATCGGATGATTCATCATTAAGAGAATCGTATAGAAATAGATCGAAATTATCTTGATCTTTTTCAATACTATCCAAACTGAATGTTGATAAACGTGATTTATTTGATGATAATGTGAAAAATTCAGTTAGATAAAGAGCATTTTCAATTAAATCCGTTGAAGATATGTGAGGATGAAGAATAAATTTTATTTCGTTTAGATTTATACCTGGATGAACTTGTTGTTCTGTTGAACTTCGTTTTACACTATCGGAAGATTGATTAGCTGGAAAATTATGACATGAAATACTCCGTATTGTACGAGCTAAAAATACAAGAAGAAAAATATCTATCTGTTTATATTAATAAGTTAATGATGCATGTACAATGGAACATGCAATATCGAAGGATAAACTTGTTTATCGGATGCGTTGATAATTGATATACATGATAATTCCCAAGTTCTATTTTCTTTAACACGAGACAAAGAATATCCTTGAGAAAATTTAATATTGACTCATGAAATTCTCGATAGAATTTGACCTTGACGGCTGTTATTGCTGTATTTTTTAGTTAATTAATTAACGGAAGCAGGAATCAAAATAAAATGTTTTATGATTGATTTTGACCAATCTAAACTCTCACGAGAATAAATAACCTATCAGATTTATAGAATTTTTACGCTCAAAATATTCAATACACTCTAAATATAGTATCTCCTGTGAGAATTTCTCGAAACAGTCTAACAAAAATAGAAAATAATTTACCATGTGACATATCGTCAAGTTTACAAAGTAGTCGATGCTTTGTTGCATGAATATCATTTTCTTTGAATTCTTTATGTACCCAAGAAAAAATATTTTCTGATGTCGAAGCATTTTTATTTGCACCTCCCGGTATTCGAAATAGCCTAAAAAATCAATATAATGTAATTAGGAAGAAGAAAAAAAAAGAAATTAAATATTTACCAAGCATCATCAGCCTCATTTTGTTCATCATCAATATTAACAGTTTCAATTTTATCCAGTGCAACTCCATCGGCTGCTGCATCGTATTGTGCTTTACGTGAACGTCGTTTTTTCTGTGCGTTAATCGATTCTTTCTTTCCAATACTTTTTAAACTATGACTTGTTGCTATCTCATTTTGAAGGCCATTAGTATTATTGAATAGCACGGATTCGTCTTGTCCACCTACTGAACAAAAACTTTCTGTCATTGATTCACACATGCCAACGCCATCAAGATTTAAATGCATTGTTCGGCCACCACCAGAATCTGATATTCCCGATGTTGTTAAATCCGGAAAATGTAAAGCATTGATTGTTGATGTTGTTAATAGTGCAGATGGATCAATTGAAATACTTTGTATCATATCGTTATTCATTGAAAAATTCCTATCAGTCATTGTTGAATTTAACTGAATACAAATGTCTCACTATTGATCAAACTCAAATCACCTGAGGGAAATACAAATCTTATTCTGACTGTCTCTCTCTCTTTCGGATGTCATACAACGTTTAACCAATGATAAGATCCTTCAAAATTATTCAGCGACATCTATAAATATCAAAGTCAGTAATTAAATTATCGATCAAATTCAAGGCTTTTTCAAGCAAAACTTAAAAGAATATTTTTTGCTATGAGTAAATACTTATTTCTATTGGTTAAGTATGATACATCACGTTACTTTGGGCACGAGCTAAGGGAAAATGTGGACGCCATCATGGAGGCACATGCAATTCATTAATGTGAAAAATCTAATTGGTTATTTTGTATTGCTAATAGAAATTATTTCTTTCAATGGTGATTCATAACGCAACCCAATAAATATTTCTGTACATGAAATCCACATGAAATAGGATTACTATCTTTGAATTTGCTATACAAAACCAAACGTAAGTATTCTTATTCTTTTATCTTCAAACTTACGACGAAGCTGAAATATTTCTGGTTGATTGAGATATTGTTTGTTTGCTACGACAAGTCACATTCCTGGTCATTTTATTGGTATGATAACGTGTCATGATCATAAGCAAGATACTGTTCTAGATGATTTGTTCAAAACATCTGAAGGTGTTCATATTGTCTCAAGGGTATTTTATAATCAATCCAAATAGATCATATGCAATAGTTTATTTTTTCTATCCTATTTTTGTTAATGACAAATGATTTCTTTTTATCATTTTTCTGTAATGGATTATTGTTTTACTTTTTTTTTATTTGTTTGATTTAGAGGAAATTATCTTGTGATAATAAAAAGAACTTTAAAAAATCATTTCAATGCTTCTACTTATTGCAATCAGTTTCAAAACATAACTAGACTAAAATAGACGACTTCAACGATTATTTTATGCTTTGATGAGTAACATATATTAATTTGAGTAGCCCGTGTTAGCTTCAACTTCTGGTTGTAGTAATGCTTTAGATAAAAGAACTAAAAAACTATCGTTTTCAATCAAATTCTTTTCAAATTCGACAAGTCTCCTATGAATCATTCTTCGATTAGATAATTTCCATTAGCAATACAAAATAACCGATTAGATTTTTTACATTAATGAATTGCATGTGCCTCCATGATGGCGTCCACATTTCCCCTTAACTCGTTAGTTTCCCTTAACTCGTGCCCACAGTGGCGTCTCATATATATACATTTTTTCAGGGAGGCATGTCTATCTGAACAGTGCCGGCCATAATATTCCTCGACGTCAAAAATAAATATCGACTGCTTCATACAACTTCAGTCGTATTTTGCATAGAAAAACAACTTATTCATTTTTTAAAAATGATTTGATATAACTTTTCGCCTCATTAGGATAAATTGTTCGTGCTCTGATTTGGTTTTTGTAATAAATATTATATATTTTTTAAAAAAGACCTCTAGGAATAATATTTTGTTGATAAACAATATAGTTAGTATTAAAAAATCCTGATTAACTTCTCATCTTTACTGATCCAACAAATTCTAAGTTTGTGACGAATGTTTTTAAGATAATCTGTTATTAACTGGAGCACATACGATAGCGACGCCTGTCAATGCAGTAATATTTTCTACGATGCACTTCGCATCCATGAAAGAGGCTTGTCTTATACTCTATTGGTGATTTAATGCTTTAGTGTGGACCGCTGTTGACTTAAAACAAAATAAAATTTTATGAATTTTTGGTCTGTTTGGGGTCTAAATCATTAGCCTGTAATAAAAAGAGAAAAAAATGCAAACTGCTGAAAGTGTATGTTTATGGAATTATCAATATAAAAATCAGTCATCACCAGAATCAACAAAAGCATCTTCTAATGATAATACATCTGATTTAACTTGTACAGTACATATATCCTGTCAAAAAGAAATATCAACGAAAGCCATAGTCTATTGTAAAGAATGTCATTCATTACAATGTCGTTTATGTGAAAAGAAAATTCATAAAAATTCCAATAATAAAAAACATGAACGATTAAATTTAGATGAAATTGATAATGAATTTTGTTCTATTAATCAACAACATCGAGCAATTTTTTATTGTTCAACTTGTGCATTAACATTTTGTTATATTTGTTATGAAAATCAACATCAAAATCTCGATAGACGAGACCATAAATTACAAAAATATCGAGAAGAACAAAGACTAACAACTAAAAATACCAAGTAAATATTGATTGTTTCTCTTGATATATGTGAAAAGTAATATATCTCAAATTATCGTCTCCTTTTGTAAATAATAATAATAGAATACTTGTCAATATGGTATCATTAGTACTATTGTATAGAATCGAAAAGTTCTGTTGGTCAAATTAAAACTAACATGAACCGAAAAAGAAACAATAGAATAAATTATATCTAATGGATTAATGAGAAGACGAAATCTAAACCCTTGAAAAATCATTCAATATGTCTATGAAGAGTAGATGAATTTAATATATTAAACATAAAATCATTGATTTGAATTTGAATTTTTTCGACGAACTCCTTTCTGTTCATATTTAATCAATGAAAATATAATTCTTGTCACATAGTGTCACTGACTTGATTCTAACTTAGATCGAGACATTTTGATTCTTGTGAAATTAATTATCCGTATTTAGTGATGAACATGGAACTAAAACTGAACCGATAAATATCAATACGCCCTCCAATGTAAATACTGAGAGTGCACAACCTGCAGCATCTTCATTTGAAGATGTTCAAGTGGACGATGATAATGAAAGCAAAACATCACCATCGAATCGGCAAGTACGCGCAATGAAATCAATTGCCGTACCCGAACGACATAGTTTTAATCAACAAATGTTACTTGAATCAATGCTAGAGGATAGTGAACATGATCAACATACAATAAAAACTAATAATCGCCTTTTACAACAAAATCAATCGAATATCGACTTACGAAAAGAATTTTTACTTTTTGATGCTGATGAACATTTAACTGTAAGTTTCATTTATTAGAATCGAAAATTTCTCTACACTCCAATCGCGTCTGGTATTAAACGAATTCCATGAGATCAGTCTAATTTAGTTTAGTATTTCGTTATGTATTCTCTCTGTGTTTAGTTTTCAATAATTTCCAGTGATCAGAAGACTTACACATCGGAGAGTCTAAGTCGAAACTAAAAAATTTCAATGTGAAAATTGAGTTTTACATCTAAAAGTATGATTCGCTTGAATAGCAAGACTATAATAGCTCTTATATTTTGAAGGTAGCTTGTCTATGCATCGCTATATTGTTCCATTTCAATATTAAAAAAAAAACTTTACCAGAACAGGAATTAGATATTGTAGGATGATAGAAAGTTTTGTTTATACTCATTCTTTTTCTAATTTTTCAGGTAAACAATGAAAGTGAATTTTTTCATAGTTTAAAATGTGCGAAAGATCTTAGTGTAAAATGTGTGTCCATTATTGGCAATACAGGTGACGGTAAATCCTATACACTTAATCAGGTATTTTTTAATGGCGAGGAAATATTTCATACATCATCAACAGCTGATTCGTGTACAATTGGTATATGGACAGCTCTTGATGAAAATCATCGAACACTCGTTCTTGATACTGAAGGTCGTCTTGGTCTATCTGAAAATGATCATCGACGTGATCGATTATTACTTAAAATTCTTTGTATAAGCGATATTATTATTTATCGTACACGTGCATCGAAATTACCAAATGATATGTTTCAATTTTTATCGGATGCTTCGAATGCATTTAGAAAATATTTTCGGCAAGAATTAGAAAATGTTATGAAAAATTGTAGAATCGATGGACCAATGTCAACTATGGGACCAGCATTGATTATTTTTCATGAAACGCAGCATACAGAAATATTAAAAGGTTTGATAAGCAGTGCAAAACAAAATTCTAAACATTTGAATCTATTTAGATCATCTTCAATGTCAAAAAACAGCTGTTGAGCAATTAAAAGAACGATTTGAAGCAATGAAATTATCCTATGATGCTTATAGGTTTGTTAATGGGCTTCATAGAATTTAACAATCTGTTTCTTTTTAGTTCCATTGAATATGTTGGTATTCAAGCACAAAGTGGAAAATCATCAGATTTTAGTGAAATCAAAGCAACTATTTCAGAAACATTAGAAAATAATAATCGACGTTCTCGAAGACCTTTGTCTGTTGTTTTCAAAGCAATAAAAGTACGAATAAGTACAGCAACATGCGGGAGGTCTTTAGTTCGATTAAATTTGAATACTGATGTATTACAGTGTAAAATAGCAGAATTTTATAAGTATTCATAATGCTGCTATTTTGGATGACTACCCTTCTTTTATATTGAAAAATCGATTTAATTTTGCAATGAGAACTTTTTTCCAATAGTAAAAACGTGCAACGTATAAGAAAAATAACATTGACCTTCGCCTAACATATATCTAAAAATGAGATTAACCTTTCTCTTGATAGTGCCATTCAAAACACAATAAAATTATTTTTAGGCGTTAAATGAAAAGTTCAATCATGTCATACCTCCATCGATGCCATCGACATTACCAGATGATTTTTTTTCATGCCATGCAACATGTCTTTCTTGTGGGTAAGTTGTTTTTTTACTGATTCAATTTGTTTTACACGTGCTAAGAATCTTCTTTTTCTGTTGTCAGTTTCAAATGCACCATCGCTGCAAATCACGAAAAAGATAATCTTCCACATGTTTGTAATAAACGATGCTCGTATAATAAAGAACTAGATAATGAAGTTTGGAAATGTTTGCCATGTCATCGTGATGGACGTGACACGATTGTCTACGGGAAGTTAGTAACGAAAAATGATGGTCTCGTTCAAGGATTACTTAAATATGTTTGGTCGGGCTGTGCTATTGAATGCCCATATCACGGCGAAATCTATCGTGCAAGAAAACATTGGTATGGAAATAATGAACCGAAAGATGTAACGTTTGTAGAAATAATTCATGTATGGCCTGGTGATGACAATAGTCGATTAGCTAGTGATGTTACGCCAAGAAAATTTGTTGAATTGATCGTTTCTGCTAGCAGGTTTGCTGCTTGATTAAAAAGAAGAAATTTAAATGAATGCGTCATTGTGTTTACCTGTTTTTAGTTATCTTTCAGCACCAACGAAACTCATAACAGAAATGATGGCTGATCAAGTAGCACCATCGTATTGGGTACCAAATAAATATGTTATTGTAAGAAATTAATAGATTCTTTCCGATGCGATAAACATATTTTATATCAGAAAGTTCGTGTTGCGTTTCGCAGAGAAAACTCGTTACACATTTGAAGCGATGCGACAGTGTCTCACAGGACAAATTTCTAATTTTCTCATAAATTATATATCGGCCAGTTCTAAATCGACTAATTATATAGGATTTGACAAAAACGAATCTTTCGAACATTGTAAAAAAAAATTTATTAATTCAAAGATTATGAGAAAGTTGCACGACTAATTAATTTTTCTCGAACAAAAATCACCAGAGAATTTCTAAAATTTTTATAGTCTAGGAAAGTTTTGAGGTATCCAAGAATCAATGCTAACAAATATCGAATACGCACAAGTAGAAACAACAGGATAATTCTGCATAAACTGATTTCGAGATAAATCGCGATACATATTCAACCGGATTCTTTCACATTTCAATGCATCTTTTGCTTTCTTCCAGGCTTGTTCATCATGTAAACTCAGCTTTGGTTCGGAATATTCTAAACATCATTGTCGAAGTAAATTTATTAAAAAAATGAAATCTTTAAATTCTTAAAATTTTCTTCTCAGTGTGTGGTCATGTGTTTTGTGATACATGTACAACACGTCGTCTTATTGTGCCATGGATTGATACCGAAAACCCAGTACGTGTATGTGTGAATTGTTATGACAATCCAAAAGCACAAGCATTATTTGACATATCGAAACAGTCAATTAAAACAGTGAATGAAAATGGCAATAGCGATGATTCCACCAGCACTGTTTCATCGAGTGACCAGTTAAACGATCTATGTTTAACACCAACGGATATTTTTGATATTGAGCAACCGGGCGCAGGTTTATATTCTTATCGGTTTACTTTGCGTAGTAAATCTATTCGTTTTAGTTGATATTCCAACATCGAGGCGTGTTTATGAAACTGTTAAAAGTGGACTAGAGAAGATGGGCGTTAACTATCCGATTGGTAATGATATTTTAAAAGACGAAAACAAAATTTAATTTATCAGTTTTTTACTTAGAACTCATTAAAGAAAGTACTCGTCCGGCTTATTGGAAACCGGATAGCGAATGTCGTGCTTGTTATATTTGTCAACGAGTATTTAACAATACAACAAATCGATTGCACCATTGGTAAATGATTATATTTGAATGGAATTCTTATAATTAGTTTATCTGTTGTCTTTTAGTCGAAGTTGTGGTGATGGTGTTTGTGAGAATTGTTCACCAAAAAAGCGTCCTGTGCCAGAACGGGATTGGCTAACACCTGTACGTGTATGTAAATTATGCAACCAAATAAAGAATGTTTCAAGTTCTAATCCTTTATAATAATTATATTTTTTTAAATATTTGTACATAAAAAGTTTTGAAGTTTTCTTTCTACGTCTTTACGCTGTATATTTTTATATATTTTTTAACTTTATACTTCAGCAGCGATTGTTGAACGTAGATAAAAACATTTCTTTTTTTGCTCTGGGTTTTATGTATTGTATCTTTGTTAACAATTGTCAAGAGTAAAATAATTTATATACAGAGGAATCAGCTTATGTGCAAGGCAATAATCATTTCTTTTTCTTTTCCCTATAATGAAGTATTGATATTGATTGCGTTCCTTTTCCGTTCTATAGTGCATTTCAATACACCAAAAAAAAAGCTACTAATCTTCTAAATACTCGCATTTCTCTGTATACAAATATATAAATCTTATCGTTTTCTTTTTTTATTCGCTCAGAATATTATTCCTGCTAGTTTATTTATTCTTTTAAACGTAAAAGTAAATACTGTGCCCTCTGCATGCGTATAGAAATAGTTTTATTCACATTTTTTAAAACATTATTTCCTATTTGTAGATGTATATGTATCATGGATATTCATCTTATGATGGTGAGATACAAAGGCGTACTATCTGTAATTCACCATTATCGTCGAATGTACCTTCTTCCGTAGCCGAAGATATTGCTTTACCTTATTTAAAACACGTGCAAGAATTAATTACAAGTAATCGGCCATTTCCTATTGTACTCGATAAAGATTTTAAATGGGCTCTTGAAGTGTTCGCATTTGGTTTCGCATGTGAAGAAAGTACAATATTTCAATTATGTTCAAATATTTATGTTGAATGGCTGAAAGTCTTCGAAAGAACATTCGGTAATTCACTTTCGATTCCACCGGTATTGAAAGAAAAATCAGAATTTTATTGGTCACAAATGTTTTGGCATTTATATCATCTCTTCGTTATTCATGAAGGTACATTGAAATAATAGAAAAACAAACAAACAATGATTTTGTTGTTTGAAAATAGGAAAACCTGCTGATCTGTTAACAAAACGTATGTATACTCATAAAGTTCTTCGTCATCTCCAAGCAATGATTAGTCAAACGGAGTTAAGTCTTGATCTATGGCATATTCTACTTCAAGTATTCTTAGCTATTGGCGATGCCGTACTATCTCCATCGTATCGAAGTATGTACAATTTTAGATTTTAACTTCTATGAATATTTCGATTTGATAGCAAACGAAGAACCTACCGCTGTTACGAGTTATCGTCTTGTACCATCGATTTATCAAGTATTTTTAGTTGCTGTTGCGAAAGTTGGCATACCACCTGGTTTATGGCGAACTTTTCAAGATTATGCAGTAACATGGCGCCATCGACCAGCTGTTATTTATGGTGAGACCAAAGTTTTCTCGTTTAAGAGCGAGACAAATTTTGAATGAATAGTAAAACTATGGAACTGAATTTCGGTTGGTGACGTTCACATGATAGTGACATGTGTAACGTAGAGTTCATCGTAGGCTCTTGGTTCCATCGTTCATTTTTCTATTAAATAAGATATTCATGAAGAAAGCGATTATTATTGTATATGAAAAAAAAAAGAAGTGAGAGGAAATTCGATTCTACGAGATGAACATTATTCTAAAATTTAATCGTATGATAGAAGAGTAAACCGAGAATAATGAAGATTTGTAAGTAAACATTGATGCAAATTAAGCTTCTTTTGTTTATGGTGTTTTTAAAGTTGAATTTTTTGCCGCAAATCACGCGCTTATAATAAGGTAACGAATTCAATATGCTTTTGTGAATCTTTAATGTGACGTATTACCCGTAACTCTTCTCACCAGCCTTCTTGGTTCCATTAGAGGATTCGAGTCAAAAAGCTACTATTCTATAATAGAAGAAAAAAATCTCTACTACGACTAAATCTTAACGGCTATTCTGCTGTGCCATATATTATCTCAGACATTATCTGACGATCAATAAAATTAATTTAACTTTAGAGTAATGTTATACGGAGTGCATAATATGAATTTATTTCTTTTTTTTGATTCATCTACAATCTATATTAGTTAGTTCACGTCATCAAATATCAGTACGATTTTCATCATTTGCAACTAGTCATATGAATTTCTAATTAAACTATCTGCCACAGGGATATTCTCTGTAGTATTTACCAATGCGGCCGATTATGATTGTAGCGGAATAATCGTTGCATATTTATAACAGGATACTTCTACACATTTATTATGTAGATTAACTAATATTATTACATTCCCTAAGACTATTCTATAAGCATTTTTTGACGTCTATTACAAATATGGCATCCATTAGTGTACGAGGATGATCATCATTCTAGCAGAAAATAACGTAATTTTGTATTTCCGATTAATTTCGACTGCTCTAAAATACTCCATACCACTGCAACGTGTAGTACTGATTACATATCATAGATAGGTTTTTTTCTACTAATCAACTATATCACATTTTTAAAAAAGGCATTCAACAGAAGTTTACGAGTTTCATTGAAAAGAAATAATGCATAGACGACTCTAGAGGAAGAATTTTACCTCAGTAATAAACGTTGATATAGTTCATGTTGGCACTCATCATAGCTGTCAATGTCTTTAGATTGGGCACAATTGACATGTGCTCTTGCATCAACTGTTGTGCGTAAATGCTGGTGGTCCGATTTAGCACCATTACAATACGCTTGTAAGTAATTGATATGCGTCTATTTTGTTTTTAATCCTTTCGCTTCGTTCTTAATAGGTAGTGAAACAGATCAAAGTGATTATATTCAAAAGACAATCGATTCACTTCCATTAGATCAACTCGTTATCACATGGATCAAATTTCTTACTATTTTACAAAATCCATCCGAATGTGGTGATGTTTCGGTAGATTGAAAACAGCTACGAATCGATAGACGCGTATACATATATATATATATATATTCTTGTAGGTATTTCTTCGTTTGCCAAAATATCTAAATCAAGTGCAAGGAAATCCAAATGTTAAACTAAAAGATATAACATCACTAAAAGAATTACCACGTATTTTTGCTAATGTTACCAAAGCCATTGGCATGTTTATCGATATATGGTTAGGTACGATGAGAAAGATAGAAATTAAATTTTTATTTTTCAAATAATATCAATCTTTATTCAATTTTCAGGAAAAAATATTGATCTAACTGCATTATATATTCCTAAACCGATAACGAATTCAGCAGCTACAATGAATGATAATACAGCATCTAGTAATGGTTCATTGTCATCATCGCGTCCTTTTGCTCAATCTGTTCGTGCAAATCCATCAGTCGCACAGCAACCAACATTAACTGGAACATTAAAACCTACGAAATCACACGCTGATAATCGAAGAGGTAATGTCGAACAGAAATAAATATTTAGCTAATAAGCAGCCTATCTTGTTTCAGTTAGATCTAGGAGAAAAGGTATCATATCAAAACGAAATAGGCCAATGTTTCGTTTAAATTTTTATCTAACATTAGACAATTGATTTCTTCATTGATTTTCCTTACGTTCTTCTTTTAACGCTTTTCATTTATGCTATATTGTTTAACTCGTTTTTAGTAAGTACTCCACCTGGACAAATACATGCAGCAGCATCTCCCACAGCTGCAACATCCCCTACTCCTATGCCTCCACCAACAAATACAGTTGCACCATTGCCAAGTATTCCACAAAATCTTTCTGAAAGATCACCAAAATTTTTACGAACAAATCGACCTACTGTAAATAGTTTAATGCATCTCTACGGTCCATGGATATTAGATGCTTGTTTATTACAATTGAAAGATCGTTATACACGTTCGGCGACCGTTGTGAATGCGAACGATTGTATGTACATTTTTGTTTCCTCTCATTTTCTCGTTAATGATTGAATAAAATCTATTCTAGCTCCTCGAATGGCTGAAATCGATAAAACATTAGATACTCAGGTAGTCTAATTGTTTTTTTTTTTTTTGATAAATCGATATTCATATATTTCCATACGTAAATAGAATGAACGTTTAATTGACGAAGCCTTTGCTAAATCGTTTGCGACCATATGTACAATATTCAGTAGTGTGCATGGTGATGAATTTATACATTCGGAGTATTTAAGTCGCTTTTATTATGTTTTACAACAAGGTCTTCGACTGTATCCAGGCGATGAAGTAAGAAAAAAACAGACAAAGCTAATTTCATGACCTAATGAATAAATATTCATCTTTTATTTAGCAACGTTCTCAAACAATAATAGAATCAATTTTATTAAATAGTGCTGATCTATTTCGCATTAATCTACGTGGTATAAATATTCTCCTACCACTTTATTTGGATGCAATTCAATATTATCTTCAAAGTGATTTTCCAACATTTCTTAATATTCACGTAGGAATGAAAAGTTCAACAAATCTTTCGATAACTCGTGATCGCTACGTACGCATTCGTTTCACGTGCATTCAAATACTCATGTCAATTGTTAGTTTACCATTTCATTATGAAAATCTTCAACAAAATTTATTTGAAGATTATTTCGAAAAATCTCATGATGTACAACCAACAGTTAAAAAATTTTTAGAATATCGCTCAAAGATACTGCCATTATTGTTAGTAGCTTTACAATCAGAACAAAATACGAACAATGGCCAATTACTATTCGGTTAGATTTTTACATATAAAAATAAATTAGGACATGGAATGACTGATTTTTATTTGCATATTTAGGTACTATTCGTTTAGCTTGTTCATTGACTGCACATTACGAACGGCAAACAGGCAAAATAGAAGACAAGACTTATAAAGGTATAGTATTCATGAGTTATGTAATGTTTCATAAAATCCAGCGTAGAAATGTGTGGGACCACATTTTTCCGGCCCCGGTCTGAGTCGGGGACAAGTTTTTCACATTTCTAATCTAGTGAAAATCTTAGAAAAGCGGCTCTTTTAAAAATATAACTCCCGTAGTCTGCGAATAGCACAGAAGATCGGAAAATATATTTTCCTCTAAATTTCAATAATAAATTCTAGAAATAGCTGCCGAATATTCCAGTAATGCAATACTGATGATCTGCGATAAAGGTGCACATGATCCTCAATTATTTTTGGCCACCCTCGATGCAATTATTTCATTTGTAACGGATCCAATATGTCCAATGCGTATATATTAGAATATCTCAAGGTATCATAAGAATTTAGAATTTTCTTTTTCAGCTATTGAAACATGGCAAAAAGTTTTCGAACGCCTATGCACGTTTATTAATACACAATTGCATTTGTCTGCAAAGCATCATACACGAGAAATGCATACAACATGTGTAGCAACCTATAATACATTAGTAACAGTAATTATTGAACGGCCAACATTACTTGATGATCCCGACAATCTATATCAATTATGTGAAATCATTGAATTAGGACTGTCGGGCACAAAAGATGAGGTATATCGTAGAAGCAAAAAGAATTATTTTTATTATAAATTATTTGTTCGACTCAAATTTAGACAACAGACGCGATTGTTTATAAAAATGTTAAAGAAACTCATCCAGCATCGCAGCGTATTGCCGAAGCTGTTGAATATTTAATTTGTGTTCTATTCGAACATAAAGTAAGATTATTTATTTATATTTATTGATAGTAGATTGTCAATTCCCCCAACTATAATAGAATATAGAGCGATTGACAAATGTTTCGCAGCGTTCTGTGGCAGGAGCATGTTTACGTGCTGAACTTGTTGGTGATAAATTTAATGAAGAGGTTTCTAAAACTATTGCTCAAATTTTCGACCAAATTTTTAGCTCACATATTCACATTGATTCATTTGATTGTGCTTTTTTTCGTATTCAAAACTACAAGCATTATTTGCTTTTTATTTGCTAAATTATTTCTTTAATAGAAACTCGTACAAAATTGCATTTACATATATATTCTAGGCTGTATTACATTTAAAAAATGATATATGTCGAAATGGTTTGGATGAAACAACATTTACTAATTCAATGACATCAACACAATTTAAATATTTTGCCGTTAATGGAAATAATTTATTTGCCATTAGTGAATTACCAATGAATGCTAATAACGGTTAGTTTTTTTGTTGGGAGAGCTGTATTGATGTGAGAAAAATTACAGAATAGCAAAATGAATGAATTGGGAGCATAATATTTTAAACTAAGCTATGACAGTTGCGTATATATATCTCATCAAATTTAACAAGAAAAATATTATTTGAAATATCTGATGCTCTTCTAGGATTTTTAACGACTGTTCATTGAGTTATGCACCGCACGACGGTCAGAAACGATTTGTTAGCGTTTTTCTTTCTAGAAATTTACTTTGGAAATTTTGTAAAAGGACTGTTTCAGTGACATCGAACTATCTTGTCGGATTGCTGTTATACGGTGATATGAAAGTAGTCATGCACTTCTCAAAGATAGACTGCAATGTGTTTTCATAAAAATATAGAACAATTAATAAATGATCCTAAACAGAGTTCTCTGTTCTTCTATAGGTATGCCAGCAATTATTCTTCTTTGCCGTGGATTATTCGGTAGAAATGTTTGGACATTAAATTTTCGTCATAATCCTTCATCCAATCTATCAGTACAAAAGAATAGAGTAATTACCTAATTTATTAATTTTAATCCCTAAAAACAAAACAACGTTTTCAATTTCAAGTCCCATGAACGAATGTTCAATAAAAGAGATAGAACTAATTCGGTAGCAAACACGAACTTGTCCAATGATCATAAAGAAAAAATTGCTCCACTACCACATCACACACGAAATGAACGAACAAAAAGGTAAATACATTTCTTCTTAAATTTTTTTTCTATATTAAAAAAGAGAGTGACCAAATTAAAAACAAATTCTAGTGATTCTTCTCGTCATAGCAGGTTGGTAGGAATGTTAAACTAGTCTAACTAACTTTTCTATCTATTATTATGATTGCGTAAAACATATTTTATATAATTCCTTTCAGTTTTTATCATCCACCGTAAGTAAATTCAGAAATAAAACATAACTACTTCATGTTGCTTTATCTGTTGTACGATACGAATTTCTGTATTGCATTTCATAACTAATATAACCAAGCCCCTCATGCTTTACTTGTTATTTCTATGAATTTAAAAGCATCGATTTGTTTTTTTCTTTTCAAAATGATACAATCGTTTTTCTCTTTCTCTCTCTTTTATTAGTGAATTAAGTATTCCAACATTGAATTCAGTTGTTAAACGTGATGAAGAAAAATTAAGTGTGTTTCGAACATTGAAAACTAAACAAATAAAACTTGAAGAAATTGCTCTACAACGCACTAATCAACTTGATGAAAAATCAATTCCGGAATTGAAACCGGCGGAGTATTAAATTTGAATTTTTTTCTTTTGTTTAAATTATTGTTTTGACTTTTAAAGATGCCAGAAAGATTTCGAAAGTATTCGTCTGTTTTTGTCACATTATGGTTTTTGTTCATTGGATTCGATACATCGTCTGCTTAATGGACAAAAATGGGTAAAAATAATATTTAACTCATTGAAAAAGTCAATAATCAAATCTTATTAGGATAAATCGAAAATGTTGGACCGTATCCAACCGAATATTCAACTACTTGATTCAAATACATCGACTTTTATGGATGATATTAAAAAACTTGATAAAATTTCAACAACACTTTATTGTACGGCGCAAATATTCTATCTTAAACGAAATCAACATAAAATTAATGAATCACTTTCAAATATGGTAAAAATATCTTCAAGAAACTTTACAGAAGCATTGAGAAAATAGAGCCTTGATTTGAAACTGAAGCACTACACACGGCTTTCACTAAACCCTATCTGGCTAGATTTTACTAGAGAATATAAATTTCATTTCTTTTAAAGGCAACACCTGAACAATTGAATCCATCATTTTTAATATTGGCTTCGCAACTCGGCACCGTTGTTGAAGTACAACGCCATTGTGGTTGGACAGGAAGTGTTGAAACAAGTTGGAAAGCAGTTTCAGCTGCTCAATTAAATAAATGTCCAACATCAAAAATACTCGCTCAAATTGATGGAGATGATAGTATTTTATATTGGGTTGATTTAACAATTGAAATGGCGTTTTATTTGCCTCATCATTTTCCTGGTGCGTGTTTCATGTTTTGTTTTGCACATTTGTTTCAATTATATTTTCTATGCATTCTAGCTGATAATCAAAATTCAGAAATGCGAATATTAATTGTTTGGCTGGAAGAACTTCATGAAGATCTTGATTCAATACTACCTGGTTTGTGTATAATACCTTTTACTATGAGAATAATCGCTGCTTTAACGATTTGTGTATTGCCCATACAGAAAGAGAAGCGTACAGTGTTTGTTGCTATTTCGGGATACGCAGAAAAAAAACTATTTATTAACTGCCTTGACTGATTTGACAATACTTTGAAGAAGTGCAGATAGTATTTTTAAGAATCTTCTAAAGAGACATTCATATTCTCTTTAAAAAATGACTCGATTATCATTCTAGCTCAAGAGCAACAATCAAAATGTCGAGATATTTCTATAATTGGCATTCATCCATTAAAAAACCGTCTATTTCGCATTCTACTGAATTCCACTGCCCAACGGTAATGATAAACTTTAGTTATCTTTTTAAGTTCACCATATTTCTCATTGTTTAGAATACAATCAGCCTGCGCATGTATTCCATTGATCGATGGTATGGTTGTACCATTACATATTCTGCCAACATTTATTCGACAAGCTGTAAATACTTTAAGTCGCCGAAAACGATTAGAAGACAGTCAAAAGTTCGTATAATTTATTCAAAATAAAATTAATTAACTTTAATTTTCTTAGTTCTAGTTCTCAAACTGCTTATACCGTTCGAAAAAAACATATAGCAGCAATAATCGACAAATATCAAAAACGAACAAACAATAATCTTGATGATTTTTTTCAAAATATATTTTTTTCTTCAACAACAACTAAACAACATACGATTGTCACTCAATCAAAAGCACGTTCAAATTCCATGATAACTGTGCAATCGTAGAATGTCAGATGCTTTTTTGCATAAACTCGGTGTGCACGTCTTTTTATTATTTTTCTTTTTTGGGGGCGCAAACTACAGTGATTTCTGAGTGAATGCTTCATAGCTTTTGCTTTGTTTTTTTTTTGACGTAATTTAGAAATTTTATTTCGAATTATTCTATTATCAATGTTGTGTTTTTCTTTTTTCAATAAATGCCTTAATGATCACATGAATGATAAAAATAATTGATCTATTTTAAAACATATTTCGTATGAGTTATGTTATCATACGAATTTAATTAGTTTTTTCTTCCTCAACTGCACACAGACTCATATATTTATATATATATATGCACTGTAATCTATCTCATCGGTGTATATATAAAGTTCAAACGGCATCAAATTGAAAATGGCATCATCCATGAAAAGCTTCTCCTTTTGTTTTATTTGCCATCAAATAGATTTCGATAAATCAATAATAACATGGCGTAGTTTGTTATTGCTAGGTTAGCTCGAAAATGTCAGTATGTGTTCGAGTGGAGGAGTAAATCAAAGAAAATAGAGAAAAGGCCCGTTTCGTGAAAGAGAAAATGAATATTCTTCTTCTTCTTCTTCTTCTTTTTTCTCTTCATCGAAAATATATATTCGTCGTTGATCCCCTGTGTTGTGCTATTATATTTGCCAATCAAGTATGATCCGTTCCACAATTGAACGTAAGTTCATCAAATGATAACATGTAATGGATATATCTTACACGAGTGAGATGATGCTCGGTTAACTTTATTTCTCATTATCTTCGTGCGCATCTCTTTCTCCGTGTATATAAATACTCCACACCTATGTGCTAGTTGAATAGACATTTTGTTCAACAACGAAAATGGTATGTATTGAATCGGAGAGGCTTTCAAGTAGAGGAGAGAGCTCTTCTTGATAATTAGACAATATATTAAAGATAAATTGTCATGGGGATTGCTCTCTTCTCTATTCCTTTCATGTCATCGAGTATTGAAACATGTTTACAATTAATTTCATTATTTGTTATTTTTTATAAGCTGTACAATAAAGGAAGAACGATTCGATGATCAGCCGATAATATTAAGAACGCTGTCATGGAATTGCTCTCCTCTTTTGACAGCATTACTATTCTATAAAAAAAATCGATCGATTCTTTTCATTTTTCTTAACTGGACAAAGTTTTATTTTGTTTTAGACAGATTGCACGTCTTATTAATAGAGAAATGAACGATCGAAGAAAAATAGCACTTCGGTACGATTTGAATCTAACGAAAACCTACCGGAAGTTTGACAGTTGAATGGTCATCTATGCCCTGCGACCTAACAGAAAAGCATCTCTATGATAAGCACATACCTGACCTTAGTCAAGTATTCTCATCTAAATTTTTTTTTATTGATTAAGTACATTATCGAAAGGTATTGTATACAGAAGTCGATGTCGTTTGAAAAAAAGAAACATTGTAAAGCTGTCAGCGATATTATAACTTTGAGAATTTACCGTTGGGACCAAAAAACATTTGAATAAAATCAGTTTTTGAACATTATAGTGAATATAATAATTAACTATACATAGATCGATAATAATAATAATTGATTTCTTATTGATAAATTACAATAGCTAGTATTACAACAGTCAACGGAAGCACCTTGACCCAAAAAACTTCGATGAACTTGGCGTAGAAGTTTCTACACATCCTTTCGATATTTGTGGTGCTCGACCAAGAATTCGAACGGTATGTTTCTTGTAAAGAAAATTAAATTTTTATTCAAAGAAAATATTCAATTGATTGGCTTACTACACAAATTGTTTGATACGATGTGCAGCTAACAACTGAAACCGATGATGATTGATTATTTTGCGGTTCTGGACATGGATCACATCGCCAGCATATTAATTGAGCAGAGCCTAGACGTAATTATATTTTCTTTTGTGAATTAATTGTATCAAATTGTATACCTTGATTAAAATAAAAGACAGAAAAGAGAAGAAATAATTAGGCAAAGCTTTTTAAATTATTTCAGCCATTAGTCTTTGTACTCAATAACGACGATTGAAAATGACTTTGTGTGCACGTATTTCAATAAAGCCACGATTGGCATAACTCGAGAAAGAGAGAGAGAGAGAGAGAGAGACAAAAAACAGCGGTCATTTTTATGTAAGAGCCAACAAATAGTTTTCAGTTACTTACTTTTTAGTCCTTTTCGAAAGAACAATATATTGATGTAAATGAAATTTAGATGTTGACTATATGGCATTCTTTCATTGTTATTTATTTTTCTAAGAAAAAAAGATTTTAACACCAATGGAAGTATTCAATAAAAAGCAAATGATTTCATGTATGACAAGAAAAACGTCAACAGAATAAAAGTGAAAATTATGCTATGGAATAAAGCTCGAAGATTATTTCTACATGTCGCCAAAAATGTGGAAATGGCCGGGGAAGGAATATTGTTTTACTATGTGTTGAGTCATGCGGACATCATTTCATGTCGAACGGATGAATCTGGGATTGCATCAACGATTGATTTCATGTACTTGAATAGAAAAATATTTGATAGAAAGGCACCGTCAGATACTCTAGTTCTTTATTAAAAAAATTATTTCTGTCCTAGTAGCTATTCAAAAATGGTTCAACATTAAAGAAGAAGACAGACAGCTGCAGTTGAGATCGTCGAACGTCGTTAGAATCGTAAAGAAGATTCAATACTGTTTTTGGTTTTGCAGCAGAGTACCTCTGTAAAACGATTTTAAATCATCACAATAGGTCTTAGAAAGTTTAGAAAAAGTTGTATTAGACTACTATTATCTATGATATATTAAACTCATCATAAGCTACTGTGAATCATGTCTATAGTTTTGAAATATTACGATTGATCAAGTTGAAATTGTTCTTTCTTGGTACTGTACACTACTAGAAAAATGCTTAGCACATCCATAGATTTGCATGCTCTTTAATAAGAAAAATCATTTATTTGGATCAATTCTTGAATTATTTTGCTTGTATAACCAACATGTGGGGAAAATCAAATAATATAAGTAATTATTAAATGACAAATATTCGTTCAGAATAGCACATTGATAAGATTAATTGATGAATGAACATTCTATTTTGGAAATTCTGCACAAATTTCCAAACTCTTTCGTGCAGTTACTGTTCTTTTTACTAATAGAAAAAAAAACTAGATAATGTATTTTTTTACAAACGTGTTTTCTTTGTTCACCCTCAAGATGTATGAAAGACGTTTATTTTTCGCAGCATTTATATTCATTTGACTAATAATTAAGATGCAGAAAATGACTGGTGAAATTGGGCCACACGTTAATTGCCGTTATCCAGTGACATGCTATTATCGATAGTTTCCTTGGCTGGATAAATACTGTTTTTTCGTCGTTAATATCCGACGTCTATTGAATATTATAGTGTTCGCTATCTACACGTGAATTAAGGCTCAAATAAAAAGTGTTCGATGTTCTTGTATCATCGTCAGAGAAAAATGCGAAAGAAAAATGAATTCTCCTGCCCAAGAAAACTTCTTTTTTCTTCGTTTTGTTTGTAGAAAGAACAGTAGAAATCAGTTGGTAGTATAGTAGCAAGGACAAGGATTGAAGTCACTAATAGGAATCAAAATAAACAAAGAATGATTGATTTGCACGTTTATAGCTTATTTTTCTCGTTGTTTATAAATTACTTATTTCGTCCTACGAAGTTTCAATCAATGTGCTCGAAGAAAAAAGTAGTCTAAACTTGTTCACATCGCACGTAAGTGTTCGAAGAGGTTTGGCATTGTGCACCTTGACAATTGTTGCTTGTAGTGTTTCTCATAACTGTATTTCTTTGTGCCCTGTTTTATTTTTCGAAAGAATGGAAGAACTATTAGTGCAGTCTTTGTAGTATTAATATCTACAGCAAACTAAAGTAATTATTTGCATTGCGAACGAGGAACTTCGATAGTACCTTCTACTACCAAAAAAGGGTTTCCCAGTACGATATGAATTTAGATTTGAGTCGCTATACGAACAGAAGAAGCATAAATTGTGAAGCGTTCACAGGTCTAAAGAGAGAGGATTTTTCTTGAAAGTTTTTTTTGCAGAGAGTAATCAATGAAGGAGCAAGTAATTACAATTTTTTTCTACTGTTTACCTCTTCAGAAAAATGTTGACACATGATTTATCTTAGAAAAACATTTCGTTCGCAGGTGAAAGATAAATAAGAAGTCAACGCCTTCAAATCAATCTCTAACACTGACGCAATTTGTAAGATAGTATTATTTTTCGTTTCGATTTACCGACATACACAAGTATAGATCACAGAATGGCTAAAGTACAGCCAGAACTGCCACTCGATGCTGTTCAATTGTCAGAAACAGCAATACCAATTGAATCTACTTCATTGTCGCCACCAAAATCACCACGCCAATTGCCAAAGCACCTGGCCGATTTTAAACACTATGTCGATTCAAAATGCTGCTATCATTCTGTAGCACTAGACTCAGCTGAACTTGCAGACGTACAACCAAAAGCTGCTTATAGATGTCAAATGAAAACACTTATGGAATCTAGAGATCTGGATTGGACAAAGAAGGCTGCTTCTTGGCAACATGAAACGGTACTCTTCAGCGAAACCTTGGGTAAGCTGACTGTGATAGTCTACTATGAGTTAAACATATTTGTGTAAATATAGTCATGTATTATATCATAAATCTTATAATAGACAGGCGATAAGGTTACGAATGAGTAGACAAACGCCAATTATTTAGCTAGACTCCTTTTTTTGTTCTATTAATCATATCTATAATTACAGTACAGTTCATTCAATAGCGTTTTAGCACTGCGACTTTCTTGTTGTCGCTCACATGTATTTCAATAGAATTTGACAAGTTTTCTAGAAAAAACTATATGTAGATGTTACGAATTTGTTCAACACGTCTAAGATATAAATATAAAGTAATTTTGTAGACGCTGTTCAGATGTCTCTCTCATTGTCAGACATCAGCAGCTATACCCGAGATTTTTTAAACATATTATGTAAGAGCAAGAACATTCAGTCAATGCTGCGAAGTGAACTGTTTTTAACTTAAAATAACTGGAATATAAAACGCGAATAGATGTCTGAGTGCTATAAACACATCCTAACTCATTTCTGTTGCTTAAGCTTGGAATTTTTAGTTATCATGAAGTAAATGAAATGTTTTTTAATAATTCTGATAATGAACGTATTGTAGTTAGACGTTACTTTTATTTTGTAGGTCGAGCATTCGAGGATACCAAACGGCCTGGTAGACCCGTAGGTGATATTTGGGACGATTACACATTTGATCTCCCTTCGTCTGACAGCAAATCAACAGATGAAAGACCCTTACCTGAATGTAGCTATTTGACCAGATGCAGCGACTGTCGTGGAAAAGGTTTGGTGCAATGTCAAAACTACGAATGTAAAGGAAGCGGAAAGATCACATGCACTCGATGCTATGGCGAGGGGAAAGTAAGGACAATAGACTATATAGAGTACTGTAATTGTAGCAGTGGCAAGATAAATTGTCCGGATTGTAAAGGTGGTGGCAAAATACATTGCTCGAATTGCAAAGGCTATGGCGGTTTCCGTCATTCAGTTACTTTGAGAGTTAAATGGCATACGTGCATCACGACATTGTACTATCAGAATTCATTTCTACCTGAAAAACGCATGGAAAAAGCACAACGTGTTCTGTACTGGGCAAATACACAATTGCCGTGGTCTCAAAACTCATCAATTGACAATTTTCTTCTTTCGCTTCGTGAAGACGAAGCACATGAGAACATTAACCTAAAGGCAAATCTTACAAAACAGTATCGGGAGAAACATATGAAACCAACATCACGAGGTTCTGAGCGAATGCGTAGATTGATCTGCACGATAGAACGGTTGGATTTTGAGGAAGTTCACTATACTCTCGACGAAAAATATGTCAATAAACGGGATTCCACACTTGGTCAGTTATTCATGTATTTCCATTCACCATGCTCATTTCTATTTTCTAGGTAATACTTTCCGCTTTTGCCAATTTCCCGTTCCTGGAAAGGGAAAAATGATTTACGAAAATGATTATCCGCTCAACAGTTGTGGTTGCTTCGGAGAGAAATGCGCCTGTTACTCTTGTTGTTGCACAATTCTGTGATGTTTTCATTTGTTTGCTTCTTTTTCTTCTATTTCAAGAGAAGATACATCGTTTGCATTGAAAACACTTAATAAATCGCTTGCTATGCATTTTCTCCGCAAAAAGATATGCGTTTTCGCAATTAACACAGTAATTATTTTATCTATCTGAATAGTTTCATGGGGAAAAGTCAAGAGTTGATTTTCTAATAACAAAAAACAAGAATGCAGCTACGAATGAGACGGTAAACTTCGACTTGACATTAGGGATATGTTTTGAGATTCGCTAAGAGATGCAAACTCTAAATGCATTCCTATTATTTAAAAGCATCAAAATATAGAATGATCTAACAAAATGAGAGGTATAAAGTAAATAATCTTCTTTTTATTTCGTTTGTCTTAACTAGATAGGTATTGATGACTGAAGCTTTATCGCTTTTAGCTCATTTTGACATGCATTACAGATTAGTAATTATTTATAGTTAGCCAAATAAATGCGATGATTAATCTGAAAAGGAGGAAACTATTCATGCTACTCTCATAGAAAAAAGTACAGAAATTGTTGACACGTCGTCGATAATGCATTATAAAAAGAAAATGGTCTCATTTTAAAATATCAATTCTTCATTGTCGGTTACTTTTAATTTCTATGCAACCACCCAGAAAGTAAAATGAGAATAAGTTGTAATAGAATGAAAAATTCTCAATTGATCTTTTCTTATTTAGGTGATTGCCATATCTACAGCTTAAATTAAGTCCGTTTAGTTCTGACACGCAACCAATGGTTAAAGAAGACCAACAATATGCCAATACTGATGCTTTGAATCCTGTTGTGTACGATTCTCTCCTTAAAATTATTATAATACATTCGAGAACATTTAGAAGCGGAATAATATTTTATGAATAAATAATTATTTTAGTCAAAGAGTCATTGGAAATTCCCATTTAAAAGACACGAATATTAGATAAACTGAGAATGTTTCAGCCAATGAAAATATAGCCGAGAATTTGTTATTTATTTGATTTTAGTCGTTCGAGTTCATCGTCCATGAAAAATTGTAACATTAAATATGGTCAACTGCGTTTGTCGGAAGTAGAAGTTTGTTTTGCACCTTTTTAAATCTTTGAATTTTAGTGTCGGTGAAAAAAAGCTAGTTATACGAGTGCACAGCGAACGATTTAATCGATCGTGGTATTATTGGAAAAGGGAGTTATGGAGTTGTACATAAAATGGAACAAGAGAAAAGTGGAACAATGATGGCTGTCAGAGTGGTTAATAATATCGATTTTAATCATTTTTTGATTTCATTTGATTCAGAGGGTTTATTCGAATCAGTCTGTAGAAGCCACTGAAATTCTCAATGAACTAAACATGTTTATGACTGAAAATAACTGTCTTCACTTAATACAATTTTATGGCGGCCTTTTACAGGAGGTTGTTATTTCAATTAGGCCTTTTAAATATGCTTTTAAATACTTCAGGGTTACTGTGATGTCTTTATGCAATTAATGGATACATCACTCGATCATTTTTATAAGTGTGTTTATCATAAACTTAATCAGTTTATACCAGAAAATAGTGTGGCTTATGTAGCGTTCACTGTAAGACTTCTTCATAATTAAATACTTGATTATTTTAGAAATTTTCAACAGATTTTGCAAGCACTTGATTATTTGAAATCTCGTTGGGTCATTTCTCTTCGAAGCGTAACACCTTGGAGTATTTTACTTTCAAGAACGACAATCAAGCTGATTGGTTTTGATGTTAGTCATCGAATAAACTCTTTAGCTAGACAATGCCTTCGCAGATTGTATGCACACATATCAGTAAAAAATTAATCTTCACTTTTTCGACATACTCTTATACTACATATTGCAGCCTGAAAGAATATTGTCAATCGAACCAACGCACTGTGTTCATGATGATCGTTCGATTGTTTGATCACTGGGAACAACACCTGTAAATATTTTAGCTAAAAATGTACAAGAGATAAATCTTTCTATTTATATTTTAGTATAAATTATCTACAGGATATTTCCCGTTTTCAAAATCCGGCAATGCCATTGAATTAGCGGTAGAAATCTGCCAAGGACCTTCATTAGAACTTACTATTGCTCGTCTATCTCATCATTGTAAAGAATTTGTGAATACGTGGTAGAATAATGTTAGATTATTCGATTTATACAATTGAACTTTTTTCTAGTCTAAATAAGGATGAAAATCAACGACCAGCATATGAACAATTGTTCGAAAATCCATTTGTACAACAAGCAAACGAGGTATCGCAAGCTCAACATTTCGTTTCTTATTGCTCTAATATGATTGATCTTGTTGACAAGACTACGGATACATTTGATCAATATGGTTTTCGCCCATGAAAACTTTAACCGAGGACGAAATCCAAAATAAATGATTAACTTTGTTAAACATGTTTTGTATTAATCTTCACTGTAATATTTTTCCGCATATCTCTGAACGAACTATTTAGAAATTGACAATTTATTTTTTAAAGATTAAACTTATTATAAAAAAGAACAAAAGAAAACACATCAATCATCGACCTAGAACAGACGTTGACGTGATGATTGTTTAGATTTTTATGCACTATGAGAAATATAGAACTTCTTCAAATCAAGAACAGTGCACACAACACGAAGTAGAAAAAGCAAAATATGACTAATACTGTTGTTCCAAAATTTGAGCTGCCGTCATTTAAATTGGTTGACTAGAATGAAATATGATGAATCTCGTATTTGAAGATAAATTATATTTAAAAACTTACTTTAGTCAATATTCTCTCATCATTTTTTTCCATATGATTATCATTTGTTGCCGCTTTATCTTTTATAGATGATAAATTTTCATCTTTTAATGATATTTGTTGAATAAAAGGTTTGTGTAATGGACTCATTAAAAGTAATCGTTGAACAAACCAAATTAATTTTGCATAAATTGGTGGACTTAATGAACATGATACACAATGATCATCACATATGTTTTTACCACAGATTTGACGACTAAATGTTTGTTGAATTTTGGTTAAAATTTCATGCGATGTTTCACCAATCATAAAAGAAACTGGTTGATCGAAATCCATTGATAATAATTTTCCAGCAAGGTTTGGGCCTAATTCGTCAGCAAGAAGACTTGTGAATGTCATACGATTCATATAAAACCAATTGCTCATTGTCAGTGATCAACTATTGTTTTTGAAGAATAATATACTGAATAGAATGGGAATGATATCTGTGGATATTTCTTCTTCCTTATATAATCAGTTGAACAAAGAACGTCCGTCAATTTTTGCATAGCATGATGAATCCAATAGACAATGCAAGCGATCCTTTGTCATTATAGGAATATCAATCAGATTGAAGTAGTTATATATCCATTCAATAAGCAGAATAGGAAAGTCATATCGTTTCTCTTAATTGACTTTCATCCAGAGAATGATCCGTCCGACGCATTTTTATCAATAGATTCGTTTTAGAGAACAGCATTCATGTGTTATTATTGTCAAAAAGTGCGCGATATCAAATGTTTACATAAACATACGTATCTCTGAAGTCATATTCAATTTAAAGAAGTGAAAACCGGTTATCCTTCAGAACAACATGGACCAAACTGAGTAAATTTAAGTATTTGTGCAAGTCGTAAGAGAATCTTTATTGTGCTTGAACGTTTATTTTAAATATTCAATAAAAATACCAGCTTATGGGTATATTGATGTTGTTACATTTCGTGCATTTTCGAAAATGTTCAACGACGAAATCTATTTCGAAGTGTGCAATACTAGATAACTATAACAATAATGAAATTAATCAAGCGGAAATTTAAAAACCGGTTCCTGTGGAAAGTCGACTCAATGACCACTACTTTTTTCATTGTACACACTCTGAAGAGATGAGTGAAATTTTTTTTCTTGCGAGGAATCATGATGGCTTGAAAGTTTCAAGTAAATTTTCATGGTATTGTGCCTTCGATATATGTTGATTTGTACTTTAATCTACTCATAATAAAATTCGTGTATTCTTTGTAATTAGTTCTGAACAAAGATCCACGCTGAATCGATGAATTGTTTTATTCATTTAATTATGCATTAGAAATGACATTTTTTTTTCTTTCCTAGAACATGAAGGAGATCCTTTTTCACTTTTAATAATTGAAAAACAACCATTTTAATTATGTATTTTGAATCCTGTGATTATTCGCATCTGGCACGTATCAATTAAGTTAAGTATCGAGTTCTACCGATCAAGGTGAATAAAGCACAGTAAACTGACTATCACTAATATCCGTAATTTGAACGTTTGCTATTCTTTCTATTTGTTCACTCATGAATAGTAATTATATTCGATCATTATCTTTATCAGCAGCGAAAATATTATCCTCGAGGGTGTGGGTGTGTTGTCATACGGAGATACTTACATCCACATCCTATCGATCACCTAACTTAGAAAATTTTGAGTCACATTCATATCAAAACTCTGTTGCATAGTATTTCCAATATTTTATTGCTCAAGATAAAAAGTTCACATATTATGATCGTCACAATGAAACAGTAGAGAAAATCAAATATTTTCATGTCAGTATGGTGTAAAGAAAGATCAAGCTGTGGTATCCACCTGTACCCTTGTTGCTACACTTTTTACTGTCCCTTTACTGTCTTTACATACAGCGGTGACTATATGATATATTTTTGCCTTATCTATGCGCTCTACACAAATGTCTTCTAGCAGCCAAGAAATGAAAAAATACTTACCTTGATAAAGAAGACACGTGTCAGTTGGATTCAAACTATCCACGATAACTAGAAATAATGAAATTTTACATTAAATTTTGTTATGCTATGTTGTGCGATTCATTTTCTGGTTTAATGAACCCGAGTTTCGAGGAAGATTTCTATAGGTCCTGTTTTTTCTTCAAGAATTATTTGATTGCTTGAAAATTTTGATGAAATTATCGCTTAGATTGTTGTAACAGGGTCGAATCAATAGAAACAGGTGAATTTGAAACTAATTCTAACTATGCAAGCATCGATTCGATCAGCACAATTCATCCTGCCAGCTTCTCCATTCGATGAGACACTTGCGTTCTTTACAAATCGATTGGGCTTTCAACTTGATAGTATTTTTCCAGCTGACGATCCAGCAATCGCTGTAATTTCTGGTTATGGACTAAATTTAAGACTGGAACGCAATCAGAACGAAATGGCACAATCTGCTGGTACAATTCGTTTAGTACTGAACAATGATTCTGAACTTTTTCAGAATGACACTACAGAAATGTTAGCACCGAATGGTACGAAAATTGAAATAGTGAAAGAAACCACTAAATTACATATACCATCTATCGAACAATCATTTGTTCTGCGTAAAATGGCTACTGATGCCACATGGATCGCAGGACGTGCGGGAATGAATTATCGCGATTTGATTCCCGGCCGGTTAGGTGGTCGGTTTATTGCATCGCACATTCGAATTCCAACTGGAGGTCCAGTGGCTGATCATGTGCATTACCACGAAATTCGATTTCAAATGATCTACGTCGTTCGAGGCTGGGTACGACTCATTTATGAGGATCAAGGACCTTCATTCGTACTTCAAGCAGGAGATTGTGTTTTACAGCCTCCTCTAATTCGTCATCGAGTGCTGGAAAGTTCAGCCGGCCTTGAAGTTATTGAAGTTGCATGTCCAGCGACACACAACACTTTAATCGATCATCAAATGCAATTACCTACTGCAGAGTATCGACCTGATCGTGATTATGGAGGACAACGCTTCGTGAAATATCTAGCAGAAAATGAGACTTTGCAATGGTATCCATGGGTTTCCGCTGGATTTGAATTTCGAGATAGTGGAATTAGCTTAGCCACTGCGAATCTAGCCGGTGTTTGTATTGTTAGAAACAATGGTAATCCATCGACTCAACTGTTGCGACATGATGCTGAGTTCGTCTTTAGATTTATTCTTAACGGTGAACTGACACTACATGTTACAGGTCATGCCTCGGAAAAGATGACAAGCGGAGATTCCTTTGTAGTTCCTGAGAAAATATTATACAAGTTTACTGAATGTTCAAAAGATCTACAATTTCTTGAAGTATCACTTCCTGGAACTATTAATTGTGTTCACGCATAAAACTGAAACACTGTATTTTAGATTGAATATTAAGAAAACAGATTTTGTTTTGTGTTCAGCAACATTAGTAAGCTCCTGAAAGAAAGCATAACAGTATGAAGATCTTGGTTCAGAATTTTTTTTGTTTGAACGACCAAATAGTGCTCAACAAACTGTTGATCTATTTATCCGCAGTAGAAAATCTATTCGTTTAAGTAGCTAGCCCGTAATTTATAGCATATCTTCTCTGTTTATTAGTTTTATATTACAAAATGCGATAGTGGATGGCGAAATCTAGAATGATGGTGGATATGTAAGCACGATTTTTAAATGATAACAGTTCTTATCTAATGTTATTCATGTACGTCTAAATTGAATATTTATTTATTTTTATATATTTTTCAGTTTTAACCAAAATTTTCTGATCCTACATCAATGTTTCTTTTAAAATATGATATTGTAATTTTTCGAATGCATTAGTTAAATCTTGTTCAGTAGCGATAAATGGTGGGTCACGTTGTGAATAAACAGTGTTGATCTGTTCAATAAGAATATTAAAGAATATATGAAAGTCACGAGGATGACGCAATTTTTTCATATATTTAATACATAATTCTTGTCCAGCCAATACTGAGCATATGTTTGGTAAATGTTTGCATGCCACTGCTGACTGTTTTCGTAGATGACCAAATATGTAATTGACATAATTAATTAATTGGAGTTCATTCCATTTTAATGTAAATATCGGTATTTTATCCCTACGAGCCCATGTAATATTTATTGGAGTAGCTGACACTTCAGGTATGAAAACATAAAAAGATAATGCCGATTGGGTGTGCATATATTCTCCCCAATCGCCCAATGCAAAATGCAGCGTTTCTGGATCAATTACAGAATTAACGAATGCTTGTAATGCAACTAAATTAGTATCTTCCGAGTTAAAAAAGTGAATACTTTCATCCAGTGAATCCACGAAGACTGAAATAGAAACTCCCATTGAATTTAAAAAACTAATCAACGAGGTCAGTTGATCCCGATAATCGTTTTGGAGATATAACAGGGGTGATACTCCGGTTTTGGAGTGTACACCCAATAAAATCATTAATGCAACATCTGTAGTTGTCGACGTATGACGTTTCACTTTGATTTCATTGTGTTTTTCTTTCAATGAAATGAACATATCCTTAGCAAAATCGGTAGATTGAAATTTGTCGCATTTTATATTACAATCCCATACAAAACATTCGGTTTTTTCAAATAATAGTATGTTCACCATTTTACATAATGTATCCGGATCTGTTGTCGTATAGAATGCCAAGAGTGTGGCAATTTCTTCGCGAGTATGAAATGAGAAATGACTTCTTTCTTCTTTCAAAAGTTGCAAATATTTACTATTTACGAAATTCGATACCAATTCAGTTAAAATCAATTGTAGAAAACGTTGTTGTGTCCAATATTTCTGTATTTTTATAGATTGAGGCTCAGAAGTAACATCAATGTTGCTCAAAAATTTATCCAAATACTGATCGACAGTTTTACCATATATTTTTAATTGAATATGACGCTCTTTCGGTATCTGTGATATTATACATTCACGAACATGCGTCTTCCCGGCTCCACGTGGAGCTTGAACAATCATTGATTTCGATAATATGGGAACGTTGGTTGGTAACAAACTCATGTAATCATAAAATAGCACACATTTATTATCTAGATTTTCCAACTGTTCCGCGCGATAGAATAGTAAAGGATTGTACTGTACGCCACGAAGTCCGTAATAATTATAAAAATCATTTGGCGCGTCAGGAGGTGAGTCACATGCTACTGTTGGAGATTTAATATACATTGCGATTCCAAAGATTGCAATTATACTACTGATCCCTATTGCATAAATATGGTTCATCACTGATCGACTGAGGTGTTCCTATATTGAAAAGCTATATATATATATATATATATATCTCGCATGAGGCATACATATCTTTTGAGTCTCACCAATGCTTATGAATATTTTTTTTCTGACTGTCCGAGACGATTTTTAGTATAGTCAATACAGAGAAATTTTTATGACAGTGGATACGAGTACAAGAAATTTATTATCGAGTCTAATTTTTAAACCTAAATCAGAGTAACCTTTGGCAATAAAGTCTATAATGAATTATGCAGGAGTGAAACGTATAGTCTCATAAAGTTCAATTTTAACTTTTTTTGAACAAGTATTTTCGACATGAACTGATAAGACAGTTAGACTATGCAGAACTTCATCGATTGGAGAACAACTTCTTGCACTCTGTTTTATCACTTTACTAATGACTAAAACAATTATTATTTCATCAAAATATATTGATTCGTTATACAAAAAATATCCTGCGTAAATATATCGTCATCTGAATTGTTTTTTCCTCATTGTCAACGAGTATTTGATACCCTTGCGAAGAGGTTTTGCTTTGAGGACTTCTAGAAATTGGCTTAAGCTGAGTTCAACGAAGTATTTTTGAAATCTTTGACTTGTAAAAGAAAAACTATAAGTCGATAAGGATAAAATATGAAATTAATGAATTTGACCTTTGATTTCAAGATGATGGTAAAAGTTAGAATACAATAGAACTGGAGATGAAAGAGATAGAACTTTATTATAAAACGTTGACTGAGATCTATGTTGCTACACGAACAAAGTCCAGCATTTTTATATGTCTATCTGCTTACCTTTGCTAAAAGAAATGATATGATAGTGCGTCTGCTGCTTTTTGTGGTTGATAAATAGAGGTAAATGCTGTGGTCTTTTTTTGTCCTTAAAAAACACTCTCTACAAAGGTAGATATACGTAGCATGATGCGATTAGAACGAGTAGGCTAATAATACAGACAACTATGAATTATATAACTTCACATTCAGCGAAAAACCGAATAGCATTTTCAGAGTTAAAGTTATCTTGCATGTACTCATACATCTGTGGTTCTACTTGCAATGGGTCTGCTTGTACTGTCAAGCGAAATGGATGACCTGATGGAGTCCAAATGATCACATTCAATGAGAAACTAACGCTTTTAAAATATGAGCTGCTGATGGCTTACGTTGACAGACATATTCAATTCTTAAGTTTCCCATTAATTGAGTGCAGAAACATGATAATACATTAAATGTTTATATCAATTTTTAAGTTAATCATCAGATTTGTTAGGAAATACGTTTCCAACATCGAGATAAGTTTTATTGACATCATTTAGACTGCTTTAGATATGACTTTAACTGAGGTTGAATAGTGTAGAGTAGACGATATATCAAGTATTATATATGGAAACTCGTCATTTATCAATAGCTTCGACTTTATTTTCCAAGCAGGTTATAAACTATTGAACATAACATTTCAAAACATCTACTATAAATGGAGATAAAGATCTTCAATCAAGTGAAAATAACAAAGATCTCTCTCTCTTGCATCAGGCTCAAGTTAGAAGAGTTCTTTCTTCACAACGAATAACTGAACAATAGACATCATAAATTTAAAACAAACATCTTTTGCTTTTCTTGATTTCACCTACTGTTTTGTTGAGTATTCTAGCTTGCACGAATCCAGATTTTATGAGATTTCTGGATTGCGGAGGCGATAATTGATTATGAATGACAGAATGTATGTTGATAAAATATTGGCGATTGTTCAAGTTCATTTCTATTCGGTTGATATGCATGTAATGTTCAATTTTCTGATGTAATAGGCTGTACCGTATAGAAATGCACTAGATTATTCTTTTTTTTAACAACAACTTCGGTTGTTCTTTCACCAGTAAAAGAAAGAGCTCTTGGAGATATATACTCTTGTTGAAATGATCAATGGTCACTGTTTTAAATTTGATGAAGAGAATAATTCAACATTAGATATCTTTAATTGTTAATCCAATCGGGGGCATCTAATATATATATATACCATATTAAGACAAATGCATTATAATTTTAAGTAATTCGGGGCAATTGTTATGAAGTCAAAGCTTCATTTTCACTTGTTGTTGAATTTTGAAAGTGAAATTCCATTTGTGTCAAATAAAGAAGATGTTTCGCAATGTTTACCAAATGCATTTTTTCAATCGATGAGTCAACCTTTTCAAATATTAATCGTGGCGAACAATTAGAAAGGATGTTACTTTGAATGCGCACTTGATTGAGCCTCACGAATACCAATCATACAAGAATATATTTTCAGATTATTAAGTGATTTATCAACGCACTTAATTTTCGAATATCTTACATATTAACACTTTTCAAACACGATACTTATCTCGATCTTGGAAACGTATTTCCTAACAAATCTGATGATTAACTTAAAATTTGATATAAATATTTCATGTATTATCATGTTTCTGCACTCAATTAATGTGAAGCTGAAAAATTGAATATGTCTGTCAACGTAAGCCACCCGCAGCTCATATTTTAAAAGCGTTAGTTTCTCAGTGAATGTGATCATTTGCACCCCATCCAGTCGCCCATCTCGTTTGACAGTACAAACAGGTCCATTGTAAAGAAGAAATGGAAGCTTTTGTTCGTCTAGATCACGGTTAGGAATGCATTGAAATAAAGTCAAAATAAGATCATACTATTCTGTTGACACATAACCTTTTACATGAAGCTGTTACACCGGAAACAAGCAGTTTTGATGATATCACGAAACATTTCATCCTAAAAACTGATGTACTTGTTCAAAGTGAAAGACAAATCACTAGGATTTGCATTAAGTTTCGAAAGAAAAGGATGATTATTATGTATGTTTAAAGTTTTTTTTGGTGAAGAACAAAAAATTGAATTAAATATATGTGAAGATTCGGTTTAATCGACAAACTGCACTCATTTTAAAAAAATATATTGACATTTATTATCTATTTGATAATATTGTCTCTTTTATACTTGAATTAAAGTCAAAAGAACCAACGATGAATCTAATCGAACAAAAAACATTGATTGAACAATTAGCAATGAAAACGTAGCTTTCCATATTCAAATGTTTAGATGAACAAGATATTCAACATTAAAGATTTTCATTTCCACATTTTCAATTGTCGAAAAATAATTGGGAAATTCAACAATCGAAGGAATTTGCACAAAACAAATATAAAGCAAAATTTATTCCAATAATTAATACTTAATATTGTCGTCTTCCCAGGTCGAGCAATCCGACAGTAGGCACCTATCGGAACCCATCCGATCCGACTGGAATCTAGTAGGATTTTATCGGATCCTGCCCGATTTTACAGAATTGTCGTTGGATTCCGGGTCGAGGCACCGATGTCGGATCCTCAGTGTCGGATTCCTATGAATTTCAAGGAAAAACCGTTGTACGTCATCGAAAGTTCATAGGATTCCGACGTTGAGGATCCGACATCGATTCCTCGACCCGGAATCCAATTGAATTGTATCGGATTGTAGGAGATTTCCAGGTTCCTATCGGATCCGATGTCGGATCAGTCGACCTAGGAATGGAACTGAAATGTTCAAGCAACTAATCAATACTTTTCTTGTATTTGCTTCGATAGTAACTTCGATTGATCTGTAGAGCATCCAACTTAAGCATTTAGAAATCAATTGAAAAATCTTTTCTATAATGATAAAAGTGAACCAGAAAGCCATCCAGAAGATAAATTCTTCGAATCAATGACAACAAATTCATTTACATATTGGCTAGAACTAGTCACTTCTAATATCATGTGTACTAGACATCATTATTAAAAGATACTGATAGTCAATGACAGTAGTTAAATGTCATCACCAACTGTTGCAAGGTGATTATAATTTTTTGTAAAAAAACGACAACTTTCGTTGGTTAAATTTGCTTCCCATAAATATGATCAGTGGATTTACCGTTTATGACTCTATAATATTGCTGTTTCTACATCTGTGAATGCTAGTTTGATAATATTCACTAAAATTCTTCAATTGAGCCAAAAATCTAAATGATTCCGTTAAATTATGATCAATGTTACTAGATTGTAAATGATTTTTCGATTTAAGAGTTTAATCGATTCATATGGTTTGAAATCGTTATTCAATCGATTATATTCGAGAAGAAAATCACCAGTCACTGATGAAAATTGATTAATAAAATAGCATATTTGAGCGATTATTTTAATTTTTAATCGGTTTTAATAGATGGCAGTAAGAAAATCGATGATAATGGATGAAAAAACGTTGATTTCGAATCAAATGCGCGAAAAAGTCGATTATAATTTTAAAATTAATAAAAAAAACATAATTGCTAGATTTTAATCGATTATTGGAGCTACGAATCGATGGAAATCATGCCTATGCTGATTTGTACCCTTATTTTTTTACATGGATACACAAGTTGATATTGATATCGACGACAATTTCGACTGAATAGATTAATCTTTACTCGGCATACTCATAAACCATATTTCGTTCGTTCAACAGTCATCAGACTCACGCATGCTGTTCTTTGTTACATTTTGTCTTGTTCGTCGCTTAATAATTCAGCCTAATCGATTGTACCCTCGCAGATAACCAAAAATGATCAAAACACGGAGTGTATCTTTTTATTTGTTATATATTCTTTCGGGGGACAATCAAGAGAGGTTGTACAAGCGTTACTTGCCCATATAGACTCGAGTATGATTGGAGCATTTTTCTGCTATAGTCAAGGTTGTCGTTCTGCTTTATTTTCAATTCGAGGCGAGATTCAAAGTATTTGCGAGCAGTGAGATAAGGCAAACCAAAATGTTACCTCGTTGTGGGCTGTGCTCAGCACAGTTGGAGTGAAGGAATGTGAATGAAAGACAAACGAAAAAGAGTATGTCTACATTGAATAAGATGGCGGATTCAAACGAACAAACCATAGTTATATTCCATTCATTTGGCTTCATCAACGAGTCTCACTCCTCTCAAGCATATAAAAATGTGTAAATAAGCGAAAAAGAATGATTATGTTACAACAGAGAGTATTCGTCAAAAGGAACAGATTCTCACTCATATAGTTTTCTTGACGAAGCCACATCGAATGAGTCATGTTTTGTGTACTATTTATTCTTCAGTCGACTATGCATAAATGAAGCAGAATAAATAAAAGAAGAGGGCGCAAAAAAGAAAATCATAAGACAAAGTTGCATGAATATGATTTTCATCGGATTTTAATTTTTATCTTCGTTATAAATTTATAAAGTTTTATCTGTTTTTGGTTGGCACCGTTTTGCATGCCGATTCGAATGATGAAAACCTCCAGTCTCTATCTTGGTTGGAAAACGTTTGGAAAAAAATAGTCAGAACTGATTGGAGTCATGCGAAAATTTGTCAAATGTTTTCTTCTATTGAGACATGATACACCATCTACAGCCTACTGAAGCATGAAGTTCGAAACGGCGAGCGATTTCCTGTTCTTATACACTTTTTCAAAACACTTATTCAACATGTTTCAAGTCATTTTATAGAAAAAAAATAATGAATCACAACGAATGTACTAAATAGTGCGTGTACAGTTTCAATTCCAAGTTGTTTATTTTGGAATACGATAAGGCGTTTGAGTATATAGGGAATCGTCAAAAATAATGCCTGTTGTATTATGGGCCAAGTAATCGCGACGCACTCCAATGAATGTTGACCCATTGATTAAAGATTGTTCGTTTAACGATTAATTATGAGTATAAATTTTGAGTAGCATATTCCCTAAGTAGATTTGTATTAATGTAAGATGTGCACTTAATGAAAGTTTTGAAAATTTGCAAAAAATGAAGTATTTGTGAGAAGAATATCGCCTACATTGAAAACAAAATTGGTACGGCACCGAACCCAAAAGGGTGTTTTTGAACTAAAAAAAGGGCTTCGTACATGGTAACGAACCTAAAGGGTTTCAATTTCGTTTCAATTCTCTGAATCCTTTTAGATTCCGCAGATCGAACTTCGAAGCACTTGACAAGGTATTCTAAGTCTATGACGATTATTTTCAGGCATCCGTTGTTTTTACGAAGCCTTTTTGAGGATTTCATATTCATTTTAAAAAGGGTTTGGTAATCATTACGCATATACGTATAGGTGACGGCTTGTCAGGAAGGTAAACATACTCATGATTCATGATTATTATCGTTTTGAGGAAGCCCTATAGGTGAATACCAAAGAACGAAATAAACTGCACTGCAATGGATGCAAGTAAAAAGATCATCACTTCCGTTTTTTTAAAGACTATAAAATAAGAGTCTTTTTATACATTGATATTCATAAAAATATCATAAATCTCAACACAATGTTCCATGTTATTCTTGCAGTTGGTTTCTCATTCGTGTATATTATACATTCCGTTCCATGTGGTAGGTCATTATCGAACTAATATGTCAAAAGAAATTAAACTGAATTTGATTTGCATCTAGTGATGGCGCTCGATCAAGAACAGCCCATTGACATAAATGGATCTCTATTTGTTAAGCCGGGAGTAGGAAAAACCTTTCGTGCGTTACACTTCCCAAACGCGACGCGTACCTTCAAACTACGTGGTAATCAAACTAACAATCTATTCACTTTGATTGAAGGCAAAATTCAAATCGGCGAAGGCCCTAAGCTGCATGTTCACCATAACGAAGACGAAACTTTTCGTGTAATCAGGGGTCAATTGCAATTCATTATCGGCAATGAAACATTTTGTGCTCCGACTGGTTCCGTTGTGTATGGGAGGAGAGGCATTAATATGTCTTTTATAAATGTGGACTCACCTGATGCGTACATAGAATTTTTATTCTCTCCATCAGGTATTGAACATTATTTTGACGAAGTAAGTGTTGTTTACACTACTGTACCATATAATGCTAGTGAAGCCGATGCGGTTGCCAACAAGTATGGTATGGATATGTTTGGTTTTCCTAATTGGAAAGATATCGGATGCATCACGCCAAAGACAAATGATGCCGCATGTATTTCAGTTTCGTTTCTTTTTATGTTTTGTATTTTTTCCACATTGTTCATGTTTATGAATATAATAAAAATCTTCGAATAGAATCAAGTAAACATTCATTTTTATTTCTTGATCAAGAGAACACTGCTTCGTTCTAGCAAAGACGACAAAAAGAAGCAAACGGCTAACTATCGTGTGATTAGATAGGGTTTGGGTGTGAGTTTTTCTCTACTCACACTCACACCCGCCCACCCCCACACCCAGCCACCAACTCACACCCTAATTTGTTTACCATCATTTTTCCCGAGAAATTATAAGGTGAATATATGCGAACATCACATTCAGAATCTCTTGGCATATTCAGGCAGACACTCATACCCATCGTGGCTGTCAAAAAGGAAGAATTGCTTGTAGCAGCATGAGCCAAATCGAATACGATTCAAGATTTCCTTATTCGCTTCTTTCTCAAACCAATATATAGTATTATTAATGGTTTCAAAAATACATGTGTTGGAAATTATGATATTTAGCATAAATGTTTCTTAGTTTAGATTCAACCATTGTAGAATTTAACTGGAGAACATAAGAATGCAAGCCTTTTTTGGTGTTTATTGGAATGCCAAGGTTGCCGTTGCTTTATCTTGTGATGAATATATTGAGTCAGCAGCATCGATATATGCTCTAGATATTTTAGGATTAGTTTTGGGTAACTTCGGTGCTAATTTACATAATAGTTCCCTCTTGGAGGCATCATTATTAATATTTTTAATTGCATATAATAACATACAATAATCTACTAGTTGCAGATATCGACTGTTCATCAAGTCTTTGTAAAAATTAGACTTATCTCCGTCAGAATATATTTCTTCGGTAGCTTCGATTATAATGGAGAAATGTTGAGCGATAAATTGCTCGCGAGAGAGCAGCGTTTTAAGACTGTTGGCTTTGTAATTATCACTTCTGATATCATGTATTAATTCTACAGTTGTTTCTAGCTGTTTATTAGACAACGACGAGCGTTTTAAAACGAGTTGTAGCAACTCATATTTTTCTTGATCAGAATATATGGTTATAATGCATTCCACAATGTCGGCAAGCATCTTATCTGATAGATTATTAATGCAAAGCAAGTGTTGAAGCAATTTTGCCTTTTCTTCATCAGAACTGATGTTATTGGCCAACTCGAGCTGTGCATAAAACGTTGGTGGAGGCTTGGCAGTAGCTGTACCTAAAAAAAGTTCTATCCAATCATTAAGGATCTCCCCTCCCCCTCAGGAATCGCTTTTCGTTATTCGTAGACCGATTCGTCTAAAATTTTTAGGCAATATGGGTGTTGTGTTAACTCAATTTTTTGCTTTAAAGAGTTATTGACAAATTAGTCCCCAAATGGTGGTTCTCGCAAGGTACCGATTTTTTCGAACTGCCAAAGACGTATAGAGCTACTTTTTTTTTAAATAAAAGAAGAAACCTATGTTTAGAAATGTATGCAGCGTTTTTTCGAATTCGATTTTGTTCGGATTTCCGAGACAGTCTACTACAAGAACTCGGAATTTAGTGCATTTTGACATCAGTGTTATCCAGTTATCTTGGCAAACAAATCGAATTTCGA